TGCATTTGAATTGAGAAATTTTCATTCGGGGACGATCGGGCACGAGGTAGAGTAGGTAATCTCCTTCGATCTTTCGCCCCATTGTAGCGAGTACGCGCGCGCGTTTTAATGGACTCTTAAAGTCTCTCTCTCTCTCTCTCTCTCTCTACTCTCTACTCTCCCGGGGTAGTACTTTGTGTTACTCCTTCGCGTGGTAATGTTTCATATATTGTAATGGCACATGGCTACGAGCAGCAGCAGTAGCATTATTATATATGTATGTGTCGTATATACGTACGAGGAAAATTTACCTCTGCACTTTATAATAGGCGCTGAAACTTTGTAATAATAAGCAAATTCATATATATGGCACCGAAAATGGCTCAAAGTATAAAATTATTTATTTTTTTCTTTTTAATGTGTGCACAATTAAATACAATGCAATTTATCGCTCGAATTTTTCAACTTAAAATTGTTACACTTTTGTATGATATTTATCACAGTTGTTCTCACTGGCACACGAGTACCAAGCTTTTTTTCTCTTTACATTGCACAATTCAGCACGCACTTAAAATAATTCCTTCTCTCTTTCTCTCTCTCTCTCTCTCTCGTTTTTTTTGTATAACTATACAACAAAAAGAAATCTCATGTATATAAACGAAAGTTGAAGAATTGCAGGGTATAGAGAACAATGTGCAATTGTTCTACACATGTGCTATATAAGTGTGCGTGTATATATGTGTATGAGTGCTCGACATATGTGTGTGTGCCTACACGTGAGCTTCTGCCGCAGGGCAAACACATCGTCGAAGTCGTCGTCGTCGTAGTCGTCGTCGTTGCCTCTTTGATCACCGCCGGGGCAATTTTTCAACTTCTTTTCTCCTCCCTCTACTTTTTCAGCCCTGTTACTTACTCTCTTCTGTCTCTCTGCCCTTTCTCTCTCGCGTATATATACACAGACAATGAACGCCGAGCCACCCTCTCCAGTGGGCAAAAGACTAGTCTCGTATCTCATTTACCTACCCTACCCTACCCCCCGTTTGCATTAACTGCGTAGTGTGCAAAGTTCACCTATAAACTTTTATCCCTCTTCCGTCCTCTACCCTCTCTCTCTCACGCTCTCTATCTCTGCACTTTGTATTATACACACACACTCGCGGGATGAATAATCGCTCTCCCCCTTCCTATTTTTTTCCTCTCTCGCAAACTCTCTATACTCTTGTAAAGTATAATGAATAGAGTATATAAAACTTCGATATGGCTCGAGCTCCGGCGTCGCAATTTATCGCGATCTCGCCAACTGCTTATAAAGATATTCGGGTTATTTATAGACCGTTGCTCGCAATATTATTCCTGTTATTATATGCAACGAGGACCAAAGACAGCATCAGCAGCAGCAGTAGCGCAAACAAGAAATGTTTATGCAGCGAGTAATTGATATCGTAAGCTCGCCCGTTGATTTATAACGTATTAATTGCATAATATTGATTACGAACGGGATGAACTTTTTCCTTCTGTTTTCCTTCTATCTTTTATTTTTCTTGTTTTTTTTTTCTATTGCTCCCGCGTATATGTGCTTTAATGAACGGTATATAGGGTATGTACGCGCCGCGGCGACAATGAGGCTGTCGCTGCTTCTGCTGCAAGCACACCCGGTGGTGGTGTGTATAAACGCTTTCTCGAGCTTGGGACGTTATTATTACAGCGCGACAGTTTGTGTTCCGACATCGCGCGAGCCATCCCTCGATGTGTGTATATAGAGAAGCCGGATCGATAATGTGTTTTGTTCTATGAAAAAAATTGATGCGTATAAAAGAGAAAGAGCCTTATCGATAGATGATTTATTATCGAAGTTGAGAGATACATCGGACTATGGTGGCTGTCGTTGTATAAAATGAATTGTCAAATGGTACGAAACTTTATTTATTTATACATTTTCTTCTTTTGTCTTGTTGTGGTGAAAAAATAAATTGGTACGGCGATACACGTTCCGTGTGTGGCTTTAAAATCACGTACGCGAAAAGAACTCGCGAGCAAAGAACAAGAGATAAATAATACGTTCAAAGATTCGTTCATAGAATAATATTTTCTCGGAAATAATATATTTATTTATTTTTTGCTCAAAACCGATACGAATGTGTCCAGAAACACGGGGGACTTTTGCCATATTCTTCTTTTTTTTATCATGCAAACTGCAATTATATTACATAAAAATGAAAGAACGCGAAGAGAAAGAGCTTACTGCTGATCTCTCGAGTCGAAAGTTTAGTTTTCATATTAAAAAGAAAATTGAATTGGTTTTTTTCTCTTTCTTTCTTTCTTTTTTTTTCGTTTATTTCGTCCAGCGCAAGCTTGTAAAGTTCTGATTGCGATACCCTCCTCCCTCGCCCCCCGTTATTGCTCCGCAGGGCCAAGAGCTACAATTTATTTTTTCGCCGTAATAACTGCGCGCGCTCGCGGTGATGTCGCCGTATAACCGAGCGTTTTATTTTTCAATTTTTGATTTTTTTAATATTAAATATATGTCTCCCGCTATCGAGTGAGCGCAGCTTACATATATAGTAGTAGCAGTATGTAACGCACGGAGCTTGGATATCGTATACCTATATAGACGCGACGCGATATCACTGACGCATTCTTGAAAAGCCCTGTGCACACCGCTCGCTGGCAACCGTATTAAAGCCTGCCGATATCGGAAATAGACAGGCTATTGATAAGTTCGGACTAAAATGCAGCGGCGGCAAAATGCATAGAGAAGCCGCGCGCGCGTTGATACGTTCTCCCCTCCGGCGTTGCTGCCTGACGCGTTTGCTTACTTAGGTCAAAATTAACTGTGCAGCTGTTCGTTATAATCAAAAGTGTTATCGATTAAACTTATTGATGGATATCGCGCGCCGAGCGAGGACGGGAAAATTAGAATGAAAAGACATTTTTGCTTTCATATTTTTTTTTTCATTCGACGCGTTTCAAAAAGTTTGTTACTGACGAAATGAAATTCAATCGTGTTTTTGTTTTCTTTGTTTGGTCGAGAGGTGAGATTAATTGGGAAGAATTTTTTTACGATTCAATCAATAGCTGGGACTTTTAGCAAAAAAATATATCAGCATCACTCCAAGATGCTCGGACTATTTTTTTACATGTACTGTAAATTCACTTTGAGATACGCGCTTCTGGAAATGTGCACAACATTTTCTCACAAAGAGACACGGTCAACTAACTACAACCTGTCTACACGTTGTAGCTACACTTGTCCATTTAACAAGCAGTTAAATGGACAGTTTACTATGATATGTTATGTACAATTATTTCGACTTTGCCACTTGCAGATTAACAGATTCAGATCCGCGCCATCTAGCGATGGAGGCTTAAAGTGGTTTTATATCGTGATCATAGTAGTTTGAAAACTGGTCTAAATTTTTTTAAACAATTAAAAGGTCCTTTTCAGATCACTAAAAATGAGTTATTAATGTTGAGCATTCAAACTAGGGCACAATAAATTGAATATTAAATTCTACAATTCAAAGTAGTAGAAACAAATCTGCGACGCTCCTTGCAAGGGCTCCAGTTGCATACATTTGAGTATTTATAAATTCTCAATGGAACGTTAAAGAATATCGCGATAGAAGTAGTTACGCAGGATTTTTTCTGGTGAAATCTTTTCTACATTTCCATATTTGACTCTCCGAAGTATAGCATCCTATTAATAGGTTAAATTACCTTTTATATTTCCTTTCCGCTGTGCGTTCGGGCACGAAAAGTCCATTCCTAATTCATGAATTCCTTTCATCAGTTTCTAGCGGATTTCATCGTTTATTTAAAACCCATATCCTTTTTTCCATTCTCAGATAAAAGAAGTCCGCCTCGTCCTTTGTCTTTTGCTCTCGCATTATCTAATGTTCACTGGACTGCGCTATATACGTATATAAGCATTTTTTTGTGTCGCGCGCATCATCCATTATCGACGTAACTCGGACTACTCTTCATCAACTATCTCGCGGGCTCAACAAAAAAAGTCACGATGCGGCGGTAACATTATCATCGTGACTCACAATCCTAACGCACAAAACGATTTTCTTTGTGTCGTCTCCTTGCCGCACTTCATTATTCTCTTTGTGTATCTTTGAGACATCTTGCTCGTAATCATGACGCTAGCGTTGATTATTTATAACGGCGACGATGACGACTACGACGACGACGACGAGTACCTGCTGCGATTCTCATGTGTAGTACAACATAATGATGACCGAGGACAATTGGGAAACTTTTGGGACCCGTTGCTGTGCTCGCGATAAGACTAGTGCAATGTAAACACACACACACCCACGATTTGCAAGTTCACGAACACAAATACACAGGCAGACTACGTACAATAACGCATTATACAAACGAGACCGACCCCCCTCGAAGGCTTTATACACGCGTACTTTATACATATACGTACCAGAGACATTCGCGTGTTGCGCGCCGGGGACGCGTGTCGTACTATATCTGTATATATCGCGGGGTTGGCACGTATATATATATATCACCTCATTTTAATCGAGTTTACGGAAGTAGTTGCCAAGAACGCGTTAAATTAATTTTGATTGGGCTGCACTTGTGTGCGGCGAAGTATAGTATACGTATACCTGCACGTGTGTAATGTACGTATTGTGCCATATACGTATTCCTATACATAAATCGAAGCTGTATATTGCGAGCGTGACATTGTGTAACACGTTGTGTAATGCATTTAACGCCGCGCGCGACTCGAATCGACTTGTGCATAACGCGCGAGTACGAATTGTATTATTGACATTGATTTTTTCCACTTTTTTTTGTTACGTTCGTTTGTTTTCCCCGCATTGTTCTCGCTTTGATTGTGATTATTTTCTTTCCTTTTTTTGTATTCCTCGATCAAATTGGATTGGAACTCTTCGCGCGATAATTGTTGCTGTAACGCATCATCATCATCATTCCGCGCGCCACAATTACCCCGCTGTAGCGAAATGTTGAAAACAAATTATCCGGGACAATTACAGGTAATAAGCTGCAACAAAAACATATGCACCCTTCAAATTACGGACACAACGGGGTCCCATCAGTTCCCCGCGATGCAGCGCTTATCCATTAGCAAGGGCCACGCGTTCATACTGGTGTACTCGGTGTCGTCGAGGCAGAGCTTCGAGGAGCTACGGCCAATTTGGGCCGTCATACGAGATATCAAGGGACAGGACATATCGCAGATACCGATCATGCTGGTAAGGACTTGAGCTATGTATAATATAATCCGCACTCTCATTCACTCTCTCTCTCTCTATTGTATAACACAGTTTTCGGCATGCAATTATAAACTTTCAAAATTAATTCAATACCGTTAACATTCTATCCTTGATAATTTTGTACCTTAATTAATTCTCTTATAATTAGTCTGAGTAACTTTAAAAGTTTGCTACGCAAAATAAGAATCTTACACTGCGCGCTGTAACTAATTGATCGATGATATACATGGTATCATTTTTTTGAAACGATCCGTTTTATCATTTTTCCAATATATATTGGTAATTAATTTGTATAATACGTCAAAAGATAAAAAGTGAACTCGTTTTGCCTGCCCCGATACGGAGCAATGACGCACTGCTATTTGAGAGCAGTGTCCCATTATATATCTGCTACCGGGGATTCGCGAAAAATGTTCTGACCTCAGGCGATGTTCAGCCCACATATCTAGCGAGTGTGGTTTTGTGCTCGTTCGCACACGCGAATGAATAGATATTTCAAAGGCAGAAGAATACTTCAACCAGAATTCATTCGCTCCGATCATGAGAGGATTTTCCAATCAATTAATTTTTAATCTAATGAATTGCGGTTAAATAAAATATATTGTCGAAAAACGAAGGTACATGTGGACATTGAGATAGATTGCGTTGAGGAAGTAGAATGATGAATACTAGGATAAGAAAATATTTACGAAGATTCAACTTTTTATAAAAAAAAAAAAAAATTGAAAATTATACACGTAAATAAAGTATCATGATGTATTCGGGCGTCACCCACCTGAAGTATACTTCTGTGCATTTACGTATCAGCTCTTTTTATGCGACATCGATAAGAGATTTAGGCTTATCAACTTGCATGAAGTCTATATTTAAAAAAAATGGCAGGCTCAGTAGCAGCAGAAATGTGTTAAAAACTTTTTTCACAGCAATAAATTTCAAATTATGACCCATTAGTATTGATTTTCAACTTTTTTATGTTCCTGCAAATTTACGATCGTATAATAATTTGGATTTTAAACACGTTTTTTATGATAAAATACGCTTAATGCAAGTTGATACTTCTAAAGCCCATGGGGGAAACATATGCGCGGGATACGAAAAGCTGCTCAAAGCTAATACCCTAAATACATAGAAAGCCACCTGAGACTAGTAATACTTTTTTTTTCAAAGTCCATAAAAAGTATAGATATTTTAACACTGAATGGTATGTTGTTTCGGCTTTTTTTCGTAACTCGAATAAAACATCAAAAAAATGAAAATACGCGACCTATTTATCGCTGCGTTTTGTTTATTATGTACTATGTATGAAACACACCTCGATAAGAAAATAAAAACACTGCGATATAAAACTTAAATGATGAAAAACATAGATACAAGAGAGTACTTATTGTATGTGTTTGAATCAAGTTTACGAGTGAGGTACATGCAATCATGTTTTTATTTTCTTTTATGAACTGCGCTTCGTGGTTTTATAGTCATAATAAAATGAAACACTCAAGAATAATAGAAAAAGTTTTAAAATAATACATGATAATACAGATAGTCATATTTTTTAGAGGTCCTTTGTTTGAAAAAAAATCTTGCCGTTAAATTTACATATTTCAGCTTCATTAAAGATACTTATCTGCTCTGTAAATACGAAAAAAAGTGTTCTTCTGTGATTTAATAAAATGTAATTCGCATAGTACATAAAGCCAATTTTAAAGTTAGCTAAAACCAATTAGTGCGGGGAAAAAGTATTATCGCGATTTTAACATCGACCGTTAAGATTCTACGAATAACATTGACTATTGAGTTTAAACTAAGCGCCATGAGTATGAAAATAAATACACTTACATTTCTGTATAATCCCTTCTCTTTCTATCTCTTTCTATTTTCTGGGAAGCACCGGTGTAAAGGGATTCACATTAAGCTCGTTTAGCCTCTATCATTCTCTTTGCTGTCTTTCACGGGCCAATAAAGTGAGCTAAACGGTAATAAGTTCCTACGCTTTAAGCAGTCCTAAACTTGCATAGCCTCTACTATATCTCTTTCTCTCTCTCTCTCTTTCTCTTTCTCTCCTCTTAGGCACAAACGTTAGTTACATACATGGCTGCTACATACAGAATCTGAAAATTGGCACACAAGCCTGCATTAGGTATATGCCTGTATAGGCGCTATCCTCTCGTTAAAGTGCGAACGCTTCGTTGCTTTTAAGTAGCTAGATATATATATTTCGTTGGAAGATGCTCTTGAAAAAAAAAATTAAAATAGCAAAATATTTCAGTATAAGAGCCTCGCTACAGCTGTGTTTCACCCTTTTACGCATCGTGAAACACGGCTACCTTTTTTCCCACTAGGGTATAGAAAATGTTGTGTAATAATGATTGTTTATTAAAAGTATGAGCTATGCGGTATCTGAAAGTCTTAGTCTTTTTGAAAAACAGATGATTTTTCCTCTCAATTTTAAATTTTAAATTTATTTTGAAAAGAAAAGTTAATTTACTTAAATCTTGGCATAATTTATGCGAGATTATTCCTGAGGCCAGTCTTGGAAATTTTTATCTTTTACCATTTTTTTTTTCGTAGAGAGTGCTTTTTAGACCTGTAAATATAGAATGTGTAAGCTCAGGTAGTGAAAACCTAATAAAATGTTTCATTAAAACGTTAAGTAAATATACTTTTATAATTTCAAGAAAACTTTTGCTCAGCGTTTATTAAAAATGTTAACGTAAATTGAAATTTTTGAGCTTGCGTTACATTTTTTCGCTGCAAAACTATTATTGAATTATGCCAAACTTAGATACCGTAATTTATACGTCATTTTTATTGATAACTCATTCGGTTTCAATCGAGCGACGAAGACAATTTTCAACGAGTTTTAATTTCATATTTAATCACTATCCGTCAGGAGTTTCACGCTCAAAATAATTCAATTCTTAAGAAACGTCACGCTCAATTCATAGAGAATTTTATTCTAACGAAACAGGGAAGAGAGGAACGTATAACTCATTTAATTTAAAGCCTCATAATTTGCCCAAGAAAATTCCCTCACTCCGGGGGTATAACGGATAACGTGACACTCTGAAATCGAAATGAGATATAATGGTGTCTACTAAAGTGGAGCTTTTCTATACTTAAGAAGACGTGAAAATGAAACATTGAGGTTTATAGAATTATAAAGCTCCATTTTAAGCTTCAAGTCTGTAGATAATAAAGAAAAAAAATTAGCTCTAGCGTTGTAAAAAACTTGATTAATTTTTTTTTTTAATATTTTTCATAACGCAATAAAACTGTAATAAAACCTATAGATGTTAATTGTAACATGAAAAAAATTATACTAAAAACTTTCATTAATTTATGTTGAAAAATACAAATACTAATTGCGTGCTTTTGTCTGCCACGGCGGCGGGGGTGACCGCGCGTCACACCACTCTAGGTTGGCAACAAATGCGACGAGAGCCCGTCGAGGCGCGAGGTGACGCAGAGCGAGGGCCAGGCCGAGGCCGACAGCTGGGGCTGCGGCTTCCTCGAGACGTCGGCCAAGACGAATCACAACGTCAACGCGCTGTTCCGCGACCTGCTCACCCTGGAGAAGAATCGCTCGGTCTCGCTGCAGCCCGTGCAGAGCAATAACGCCATCAGCCTTAAGGAGAAGTGCGCCCTCATGTGAACTGCTGGTTCTTTTGTCGTTCGTCGGTGTTTCATTTTTTTTTATTTCGGAGCGACGGGAAAGAGATAAAAAAAAAAAGAAGAAGAAGAAGAAGAGGAGATATCCGCCGTCTATCTCAATCCTGATCTATCTCTGTCTGTCTTCTCTACCGTTGTACATACAATGCACATCTTAATAAACGCACACGCGCGCACACATTTTATGGTATATACGTAAAATAAGCAGTGAGAAATGGAGGATTTATCGTGAGCTGTACAAGTGTGCGAGTGTGTGCAGTGCCAGAGTGCATAACTGTGTACTCAAGAGTCTGTTGAGCGCCTCATCGATCTTTCGTCGCGCAGTAGCCACTTCAACTCGACACCGCTTCTCTCTTCTACTGCTATCGTCGTCGTCGTCGTCGTCGTCTTCATCCTCATCTCTTGAGCTGCACACACACACGACACGATACGCCGCTGTGTGCGCTGCAGTTCACTTTCGGCAGTCTCTCCATTTGCGTCGCCGCGGGGATCGACTTGTGTAAATGCGACTGATCTCGCAACGGCCCAAGAATTGAGAATAATTCAGCGATCGACTTTGTCATTATTTTGTTATTCTTCAGTTACGTAACGGTCGTTTTGTATTATTACAAAGTTAGGCGCGATATCGCTTACAATCAGCCGGAATTGTAATATTGGGCTGTACTACGCCGCGTGGCGTCGCGACCCAGTTATAAGTTGCGTCTTTGGAAAATCTATTAAAATCAATTAAAATCAATTTTGCTTTCTCTCTCGCTCCCTCTCGCTTATATACGTCAAAATGCACATTTCTTTTCTCTCCCGTCGCGCAAATTCATTTAACGTTAATTTGAAGTCATAGCGCCGTTACCGCAGTGTACTAACGAGCTGGCGGCAGCAGCAGCAGTTGTCGGAGAGAGAGAGAGCTATATATACTTGGTAATCTAAACGCTAATTGCAAAGCCTCGGGGCCGCTTTGCCTCGCAAAAATTATATTATTCATAAAATTATTCGACTCTCTGAGTGAATCAAGCGGCTGGATAAGAGAGAAGGAAAATTGTATGCACGATTCGTTAGATTTATTACGAGTGCACGGCGGCGTATTGTTGAAAGGTATATTATGCTACGTACTAACTAACAACCGAGCGAAACACATACACGGCCGATTCTGCGTCAAATTAAATGGCCCAAAAAATGTGCTTTTTAAGCTCGACGTGAACATGTTGTCTGCCGTGTCAGGAATAATCCGGAATTTTTCTGCTCTTTCAATATCTCTTTTTCGAACGCCTGAAAAATACTAATTTCCTTTCGTTTTTTCACTAATTTAAAAAAAAATTCGTAGCACAGCTTTGAGTAATATTAAAAAAGTTTTTTTTCTGCTGGAATGTGTCCAAATTTTCAGTCCAAAAAAATAAAATGGTTCAAGTGGTCTTTGAGCTCTTTGAGTACTCGTATGCAAAGAAACAGACGTTTTCTACTTTTACATGCTATTTTAGCCTTTCTGACTAAGTATATGTTTGGATTTTTACTATCGGTCTATTATAAAAGGGTTGAGTTAAAAGTTCATTTTCGGCGATGTGTGGAGGCTTCTGAACCTTTTACCGTTGAAAATTCGAATCGAACCGGATTAGATTCGAAATTTTATGAAAATCTGAACAAGTCTTAAGAAAATATGTATTTAAAACTGTGTTCAAATCTTAAAATTACAACATTTTTTGCAAGTCGGAAGAGCTTCAATTTAATGCGGCTTTAATATAAACTGATCCATTAAAATTAATGAAAACGATTCTGAATTTTAATTGAAAATTTTAGTTGAAATCTTTGTTGAAAATTAAAGTATCAGTACTGATTTATTTTTTAAATAAAATGCATAAAAATATATGAACATGTAACCATTACATGAATTAATTTAAAAAAAAAGGAGCAAAAAAAGTTAAATTCTATATTTAAATTTAATAAGTTTGATTGAAAACTAATAATGTTTTAATACTGATTTATAGTTTTTGGAATTATTCAAAAAATGCATGGAAATTCAATGATAATTAATGTCAGTCTTTACCACTAGATGGCGAATATCGTCATCTGCACATCTGCAAGTGGCAAAGTAAAAACAAGTATATAAGTCAAACCGAATTGTGACCAAGTTGCCAAAGGATGTGTTGAGTTGTTATTCCATGAAGAAAAAACGTCCATCATTTAACGTTAATTTTAATGTGAATATTCTCTACTTTGTGGTTGACCTAGATTTTATTAAAATTTCCTATTCAGGACTCTGAAAAGGGATTGAGTAAGAGTCGAAAGATTCTGAAAAAATTCGACACATTTTTCAAATGACAGACAACGTATTCGTCATAATCAATCAGCAAAAAAAAAGAAGCTTTTCGAGGCACACTCGACAGGGAATCGGTCGTATACACGTTTTCGTATTCAAGCGAAAGGATATCGGATATTTGAGAGCTTGCGGTGCAATCAAATATTATATACATGTATATAATAATCTCTCTTCCGTTGAGAGACTCGACTCGCTCCGAGTGCACATATAATGTACAGCCACTACGGCGCTTGAGAACTTGCCAAAAGGTGTCACTATCAAAGTGCGCGGCGCGCGGAGATTCTTCCATCCCTGTAATACACGCTCGCTCATGCACATACCGTCTTTGATTAAATTATATGCACCGGGAAACTGCTGCGACTGTTTTTGCGCTCTGCAGAGATGGTTGCATATTTGCGACGTATATTTTCTTTCCCTCTCTCCCTCTCTCTCTCTCCTTCTCTCTCGATTTTTAATTAGCGCGTCCCCAATTTTCGGTATATATTATCGATAATACTTGACGAAATGATTTCGACGAGCACTGCGGGTGACAACATGTCCTCACGATATGGACAGATGAAACTTTTTATTTTGTTTTTTTTTAATTAAGCACCAAAGACGATACATTTTGTGACGAGCAGAAAAAAATTCATCGATTCGCTTTCGCTTCTTCGCAGCGAGCATATAGACAGAAATTAAAACAATGGCAGAAAATGTCCAAGCGAAGGAAAGACAGAGATGCTAAAAGAGAAAAACGTACGCGTAAAAAGATATGTAAATAGCCATCGCAAAAAATCGATATCCTATCTACGCTCTCATGCGTCAACTCTGTGATCCGTTATGATTGCTGGCGGAACTTTTTCCTCTTAGTTTATTAGCAATTTTTCTGCGTCGATCGCGTCGATGTAGTATAGTGCGCCTAGTACAGTGTCTCGCGTGCGCTGCATCCGCGCCGTTGTTGTTGAAAAAAACGAACATAAATATAGATATTGTAACATCGATGCGTGAAACATCGAAACCTTGCTTGGCGCGATATATGCTGCTTTTTTCCTTTTTTTTTGTAACTAGCTTGGCATGTCCACAGTGTCTCTATGTATGTATACGTGCACTTTGAGTTGCAAAAAAAACGAGTCGTTTCTCTCAATCCTGCACACGCGTGTTTGGCATTTTATTTTCTAGTCCACGTGCTCGAGAGCGGAACTGCTTGGCGCGCGCTGCGTTGGGTGCTTTCGCGCTCGCACCGTTGTACACACTATATACGCGATCGACGCGATAACTGCATGCAGCACCAGTTTCCAAAGCTGCAGTCGTTCGATTTTATGTTTTCGCTTGTGTTTTCTTGCTTTCTGTTTTTTTTTATTTTCGGTAACAAAGCTCAGAATGTATACATTTCAAGTTCATTGTTTGGTACGCATAGTCGTAGCGGAGAGCAAGAGAGAGAAAGTCAAAAATGAGAGAAGAATGAGAGAAGAGGGAGAGAGAACAATTGATGAATAAAACAATTTTTCCTGAATTCACTTTAAAAAAAATGAATAAAAACAACTGCGCATCGCACTAGTAAAACGTAACATATGGTACATTATAGGGTAGTTGTTGATTTTTGTTGAGTAGTTGTAAGGATTTTGTATAACAACTGCGTAAATGTAACGACACGAAATATATGAATGTGTAATCGAGGCTTGTGCACGTTGGATTACGCGAGTAAACTTGGGTCTCGGGTGCAAAACGCATACGCACCCATACATACTACGTCATAAAGCCTCCAAGGACAAGCAGATATTTCAACGATCGAGATACGATCTTGATGGATCGTTTCAACGATCGCGAACGATAGAATAATATATGATAAATGTTGGTTTTTTATACATATATATTATTATTATGTGTCAAGCGCATATTTGACTGGATTGAAAATGAGGCTATCTCGTTGTATATTGGCGACTAAGAAACACTTTGGGTGTGCACAGCAAAATACTACATGCATATAATATGATAACCATATGAATAAATCCTCATATGAGATACGTAATTTGATAGCAATTTGTGCATCCCTATGTCGCAATATAATATACACCGTTATATTTACATGATATCAAGTGCTCGTAAATCATAATAAGTTATCACGTGCTGCGCACCGTGCGAGGCCCGAGAGTTGAATTCATAATGAATCCAAGATTTGTTATACGCGCCACGCATATTACACGTGCAGATATATATTATTATACATAGACTTTCCATCGGTTTTTCGCAAAGTCGAATCAACATTGTACGCAGCATAACGATTACAAATTTAAGCAATACTATCGTAATATCACATACACAAATACAATGAAAAGCGAAGAAAATATTATACGCCCGTCGCGCAAGTTCCTCGTGCGGGGAGGCGACTCGCCTTAACATCGCGTGAGCCGTGCAAAAACCAAAGTAAATATATATCGCACTACAAAAATTTTTAGCTGTTTTAGCGTGAGCTGTAATCGTAGATCTTGGATTTTGCTTCGTTTTGTTTGTTTTTTATAAATACAAGTATAATGTAGCACAATAGTATAAGATGAAGGATGCGTTGAAGAAAAATTCATATGGGTAAAGTCAAATGATAAGGATTTCAAATAGATGTAGCAACAATTTTAAATAGACACGCAATTTAATTGCAAACATTTTTAACAATATACGATATTGTTTTACTGGTTTTACAGATTCGAATGTTAATTACTTTACTATTGTAATCGGTACTTATCGAATAGTACATAATGTTGAAACAAAATTATATCTGTGTATCGTATGAAATAAACAACTGAAAATTTATCAACGAGATTAGAATCGTTCAATATACATATTCCAAAATACGAAATGCATCTATCACCTCGATGACACCAAATTGAAAAAGCAACACGTGCATTATCGAATTGTATAAATGAAAAATTGTTCGACGTTGTACATTTACAATTTAATTAAAAACAGAGAGAGACTGCACGAGGTCGAAAGAACAGGGATACTTGTTACTGTTGTACTATGAACATTTATTGTTGTCGCTATTGTATGAACATTATCAATTTACATGTACGAATATACAAGACAAATTTTACACAGCTGACGCTTAGTGAAATATATCTGAAGCACAAAATACGAAACGAACTGCTCCATTTCTCTACCATGTACGGCTCATGTCTTTTTAGATTCTACACGACTTGATCAAATAGTTTATATCATCGGATTTAATAGAATTTATATAGATAATTTTAAGTGCTTATATGATGTTAAAATGCGCTATTAATGGAATTATAAAATAATAAACAATCTATTCATGAGAAATCTACGCTGGGTACACAGTTAAAATGTCAGTTAAAGAATATACGGTATGATTATGAGAAATATATACCTTGCACAAATGTATGGACAGAAAGTACGTTAAATTAGCACACTGGGTGTGCAAATTCAATTCTATACGAGGGTGAGATTTGATGCGAAAAAAAAAATTATGCAACAATGAATATTCTGATTTTTTGGGGCCAATCGGTAAAGTGAGATGATAAAGAATAATTATCAACGTCGATGATTAAAGGAGCACGCACAACTCGCAGCCATGAGTCGAGAGACTCTTTTTTTTCGTCTCTCACTAATAAAGAATGCGTATATGAATGAAACATTTCCTTTTTGCACTCAATACTGTTTATAATGAAAATCTAGGCGTATGTATCGAGTCTTTTTATCTACATATTCGCAAGTGTTTTGAAACAGAAAAAATTCACTCGAACAAACGTAACGTTAAGTCTGAATCGTTTCAAATTTTATGTTGATCAAAACCTGTCCAAAAAAAATTACAATCTTACATGTACTCTTAAGAATAATTTTAAATTCATAGTATAGTGACTAGGAATGTTTTGCAAAAAAAATAATTGTACAGTGCTACTTGATTTGACTATCAAGCTGTACCTATAACGATAGGTTGAAATAAAACTGAAATTATTATAAATGTAAAGTATCGGTTCTTCCTCAAACTTAAATAGTGTTGTCGACTAATTTTAGAGTTTAAGTAACTAATATCTAAGAGATCAAATAAAATATAAATTACAGATAGAGTATTATTTATAAAATCGAAAATCTTCAAAAAGAATGGGGTGGAAAATGTTATGGTTTTGTGAATTTTTGCAAGCACAACGAAAATTATATATGTATATACTGACACAGCACCTTGATATTTAATTAATTCATCGACGTAAATGCTTTTAAGCTTCAAAAATTATTATAGAATATACTTGACGTTCGAGGTGACTTTTGAAAAAATTGAGTTTTTGCAATTCTGTGAATAGATGGATATCTAATACATATTATTATTACTCGTGCGAAGTTTAATACATTAGATAATAAGAAAATACAATTGGCCAAATAGTTACTTATTTATTTCTAATGATCTATTGCTATACTTTGATAGTTAAAAAAACATCCCTTACTATTGTATGGTTTATAATAACTTTGAACTGGACTTTCAATTAGTTGTCTTTCTTTTATTCCATAGAATATTACATTTGTTATTACTGTTGTAGAATCAATGGAAGATTAGTTATACTCTAATTTAATTTGACTTTAACAAACTTTCAAGTGGAGTAAACTTGTAAGAGTTGACATATCATTATCAGTTTAAACCAAGAGCTAGTTATTAAACGCATTCTAGGAGATGAAAACTTTTCATTTATTTGGCTATGAGAATTGATTATAAAAATATATGAATCAATTAAAATTTAATAAGAAAAGTATTAAATTTTTTCGAAGAGTTCATACTTTTTGTTGAAATGTATTGAAATCCAGCATTTTTCAATTTTTTTCTTTCGTAATCGAACAAATAGCGCTGAAATAAAAAAAATTTTCAAGAAAATTACGTACTGTAAAAATTATAGAAAAGTATTAACCTACCAGTGTTTGGAAATATCTTTAAAAATCGCAATACTTACTGTAAATAAATGTTTACTGATAATTGGGAATTATACACATTTTTTAAGATTTTTTAGTTTTCCACAAACGAACTAATGTATTCTCTCAATGATGAAACTATAGTAATTTGATGATTTCTTACTCGTGATAACTATTATATACAACTATTATATTCATAATTTAAAAAATTCAAACTATACAGACCTAATAAAAACCATAGATTTAGGAATGAAAAGCGATGATCTTATATACATTTTTTAAATCTCAAAGTTTTATGAGAGGAGAAGCTGAAGAAAACGTATCCAGCGTATTGCAACCTGATGCCAATGCAATGAGGTGCACATTTTTGTAACAAATTATAACTGAACAACTATTATTTAGGCATCACATCACGAATACATCTATTTTTAAAATTTCTTATATTATATATATGTAAGACATATCTTGAACGATATCACGATTGGCTTATTCTAAAAAATATATTTAGCTGGCAAAGAGATTATTTTTATGAATGATTTGCGTATAAATCGAAAATTCCAAAAAATTATTGTTGGATATTTATGAGAATGGCTGTAATCGATTGTTGAAAAAATTCATAATATAAATGATAAATAAATCTGTATTATACTATCCTTATGTAAGAATTAAAGGATTCTTAACTTACAAATAAAATTGTGTTATTTTATTCATATTATACTTTATACCATATATTTCTAATATTAAAGATATAAACTGCTGTCGATTAATTGATTAGTGGTTTCTATGTGATTATTTCATAAACAACTTAAATATAGATTCATCATAACATATTTTCTATGGTAACGAAAATACGCCACCTTAGTATTTCTAAGGTCTTTTTTTATTAATCAATTGCAACAGCGAATAATAAAATAATATGCAACTAATGGCATAAAGGCTATCGATGCAGAAAATTCATTTGTACAAACAATTAGATCTATAAAATTATAAAATTGAAAAAAATATCAATAAAAACAATCTTGGCATCAAACTTTAGTAACTAAAAATGTGGAAAAAAAATGAGGAATACGACAAGAGCAAGAAGGAATTCAGGGATTAATACCGTTTGACCAGGCTCTAAAAACATTTAATAAAAATCGCAAAGATTTTACATGTGACAGGAAATAATTTTCGAAGATTGCGAAGTTTAATAGATGCGAAATTTTTTCGCGTACGAATATAATTTGAAAATATCACGTTCTTATTGGTGAATCCAAGTAGTAAATTTTAGATTATATCGACCCTCTACATTTTTTGGACCAAATATGCAAAGAAGTTTCATTTTAGCTAATTTTTTATCTAATTTGATGAGACTGACGTGTTATAAGCATGCTTATCATGATCATAACTTTCTTGAAATGGTTTGGTTTGCAATCAACATCGATTATTTTCCAATCGAAACACTGAATATCTCAATCTTTAAAAGCAAACGTGAGCTAGCATGTGTCTCGCAACGACTGTTGGTGAAGAAATTTAAGCGCATTTTCCTTATAAATCGCCAATATGCGCAGTCGCACCTAATATCACGTGAGATGATAATCCTTTTTTTATCGTATGAATGATTTATTATTTATTCGAATGGCTCGAACTTATTTCAGTCATATGCTCTGATTAGTTCATCGGTGCCTAACGTGTTTTTCTAACGGTAAAATAGTTGAAAGTGTTGACATATAGCTTAGAAATTCTAAATAAAGATACTCACGTGCATCTTTTTCTAAAATTTCAATAAAAATTGGGCCAATATGATTGTGTCTTATCTCAACTTTGTGCTACCAGCCATCTTTGCGTCTTTGTTTACTGTCGTAGTATTCTTTTATTTTTACACCAGACGAAATTTCGGGTATTGGAAGAAGCGAAATGTCCCAACGGTCTGGCCTCCCCGTGCTTTTTTTGGCAACTTTGGTCCTTGCCTATTCATGCAACAATCAGCCGAGAGTTTTTTTCACGAATTGTATAAAGCTGCAGATGGCGAACTTTTAGTCGGCTACTGGGTTTTTGACAAACCTCATGTAATGATACGTGACCCGGAATTAATAAAACACGTGCTAGTGAAAGATTTCGATAAATTTTCTGACAGACTGATAAGTTCTTCTAAGAGCGATGCAATGGGCAATAACAATATGTTCTTACTGAAAGAACCAGCATGGAAACCATTGAGACAAACAATGTCTAAATTTTTCACGTCAGGAAAAATGAAAAAAGTATTCGAACGAATGCCGGATGTTGCCGCAGATTTAGACAACTATCTCGATAATTTAGGATTAAAAGGTAACTGCTTCAAAGTACACAATTTAAAACAATCTGATTAGACGGTGTTTTATTGTAGATGAGGATTGCGTGATCGACATAACAGAAATGTGCTATAAATTTGCCCTTGATTTAATTGGTGTTACGACGTATGGTATAAATATGAATTCTTTGACGATACCAGATGCTCAATTTCGCGAAAAAGGACGTATCGTCTTTAGTACATCTCCATCGAGACATTTTGAAAATTTATGCATGTTTTTTTATCCACCACTGACACGTTTAATCGGAAGTCAATTTTTTTCATCTACTTCAAATTTCCTGAAAAACGCATTTTTGAATTCAATCAATCAAAAAGTACAGTTGAAAAATTCAAAAACAGATTTTTTAGATTTACTGGTCGATTTGAAGAATAAAGAAATTTCATCATTTTCTCATAAGACTGGTACGTGATTGTACTTGAATATGAATAATATCAGTTTATGTTAATTTTAATTATTAGAAAAGATTTTAGCGATAATGAACTCGTAGCTCAGGCAGCAATTTTTTATACCGCTGGTTTTGGCACGACATCGACGACCATCATGTTCGCGCTCTATGAATTGTCAAAGCAACCTGAGATACAAATTAAACTGCAGCGAGAAATTCAAAGCGCTCTGAATTTAAGTCAAAATAAATGCTTATCATACGATATGGTTTGTTATTGAAACTAAATGATCAAAGTTATTACCTATATTTATTCGCATATTAATGTTTCATTGAAAAGTTAGGTTCAAGCTCTTCCTTACCTGGACGCTGTTGTTTGGGAAACACTGAGAATATATCCTACGGTCATGAGTTTGGACAGAATTTCGATGGATAGTTATCGATTTCCTGGCACTAACATAACTATTGATAAAGGTACGCCTGTGTCGATACCACTGCGCGCACTTCAAATGGATTCAAGATATTTTGCCAACCCGGATAAATTTAATCCAGATAATTTCTATGGTCCAAGTAATAAAAGTAACATAATAAAGTACACGTTTTTACCGTTTGGCGATGGACCACATATTTGCATTGGTAATACATTTTTCATTCATGATAAAAAAAAGTTTCTCCAAAATTATAATTTTGATATTTTTGTAACAGGCATGCGTCTTGGACTTATGGTTGTTAAATATGGTTTAGCATATTTAATGTCAAAGTATACGGTTGAACAATGCAAAGAAACAGTACCGAATATTGGATACAATGTTCGAAGTGTGTTTTTATCTCCAAGTGATAGTATCGTATTGAAAATCAAAAAAATTAAATAATATTCTCATAAAATTTCTCATCTTCACCTTACACCTTCGAATTAGAAAATAGTATATTTTGTAACAAGTGCGCGAAGCAGTTGACTCATCCAGGAGTCGTTTTCACCCGAGCGCAGTGAGGGTGCAAAGACTCCTGGGTGAGTCAACTTCCTCGCGGACTAGTTGCAAACGATATTTTTTAACTCTGCTTGCGAGAAACTAGGGTTTTCTGACGCTTTAAGGTTAGAAAACCCGTGTTTCGCGCACGCAGTGTTAAAAGAGTTAAAAAATATCGTTTGCAACTAGTCCGCGAGGAAGTTGACTCACCCAGGAGTCTTTGCACCCTCGCTACGCTCGGGTGAAAACAACTCCTGGATGAGTCAACTGCTTCGCGCACTTGTTACAAAATATACTATTTTCGAAGAGTTTTTTAATAGAATAAAACAACATTCACGTGACACAGAGAAACTTTTTGCTATTTGCTAATTGTAAATATATTTTGATATTACTTAATTTTGTCAATAAATTATTTTAATTCTCTGTTTTTAAAAATATTTTTTCTATAATTTAAATGAGAGTAAAGATAATATATTTGCCATATATTTTAACACTCTGAATCATCCAAAAAAAGTGATTTTCCAATAGACGTAAAAATTCATGTCCAATACGGATGCCCATGAAAAATTTGTTTTTCATTAACAGTGAAAAATCAAAAGTTTCTGAGAATTCCACACGTGTGAACGAACTATACAGACATAATAAAAACCAGAAATTTACAGGAATGAAAAACGATGATCTTGAAAAAAGCTGAAGAAAATGTATTGCAACCTGATGTCAATGAAAAGGTGTAAATTTTTGTGACAAATGATAACAAAACAACTATAAAATAGGCAATTATTATACTATGTATTCGTAAGACGTGTCTCGAATGATATCACGATTAGCTTATTCAAAATAATATATTTAGCTGGCTAAGAGATTATTTTTATAAATAATTTGTGTATAAATTGAAAAATCTGAAACATTATTTTTATAAATTTAATAAAACGGCTGTAATCGATTGTTGAGAAAATTCATAAAATAATTGATGAATAAATTTTTATTGTACAATTCATAGATATGAGAATTAAAAATTTCTTCCTCTTAAATCTCAAAATAAGATTGGCAGCCGCCAGCCGTTAGAGGACAGCAGCGTCGTTAGTCACGTTATGCGCAGAAGTCCGAATTTTCACATCAGACTTCAGATCTTGTTAATGGTTAGTTTCTGTCTGCTGTTCTGACACATTACTATTTACTCTTGAAAAAAAAACAAGTAGCTACATAAAATGAAGTGCAGTGTAATAAATTGCAAAGGATACAAACGATTTAAATTTCCAAAAAATAGCGAACTAAGAAAAAAGTGGCTCGAGGCAATAAAGAGACCAAATTACACACCAAAAACGTCTCATGGATTGTGTGAAAAACATTTTAAGCCATCAGATATGTATACAGAAAGTTATGAAGGTAATTAATATTGTTACTTATAATATATAAATTTGTATAAATATTAAATTTTTTCTCATTGCCCTGACCAAAAAATATAAAATTGAATAAAAATAAAATTTAGAGCTATCATATGGGTAAAAACGCCAATAATGCCCCAACACCACGCGCGGGCAGCGAAAACGGCCGGCTTGCTCTGTTTTCAAATCACTCGCAAAAAGTAAAATAAAATTTAGAAAAATAAACCATCATAGGTTTTCGATAGGTTTTTACCTAAGCTTTCTATTGGTGAGGTCAAAAATGCCAAAATATGCCTCCAAAACCTCAATAAATGGACTTGAAGATAAAACATGTTGTAACTTCCAGATTTCAAGTCCGATCGATTTTCTGACTAGTTAGATCGAAAAATCTCGCGATTTTACATTTTACAAAAAAAAAGGACTTTTTCGATTTTCTCGAGCAATGTAGATGGAAAGAGCGCGGGATCGGCCCCTTTCGCTGCTCGCTCGTGGCGCTGGGGCATTATTGGCGTTTTTACACATATATTGAATTATGATCTGTTGTAAAGTATAAAAATTTATACAATTACTAACGATTTCGAACTGCCAAAGAATTTATAAAGATTTTATTACATTATTTACGTTGAGAAGTACTGCGTTATATTGTGTAAAATTAATTTACAATTTTTTTTCTAATTTTGGATATAAATTACTGTTTCACTTTTTTAAGAATAAGATGATTGAATTTTAAGTCAAAAATCGGTTAATTTTACTGCTTAGAGTGAACTAGAAAGAAAAACATTTGTTAAAAAATTATGAAATGGTAATCACTCGACCAGTGATTGAAAGGTTTAGAAAAAATCTTCCTTTAAGCAGCTCGGATGCATGTTTTTAGTCAATTTCAGGTAATCGAACCGATAGTTTGTCAAAGTTCATACCTTCCTCTACCTATTAGAATTTTTACAGAATTTTCAATTGAGTTTTTCATTTATAAAAGTTCATGAAAATGAAAAAAATGTGCTTTACAGCTCAGCGTACGTGCTTTGAACTGCTCATTCTTTTACAGTGGATCTTCCAAATTTTAACGATTTTTAGCGATGATGTACAAAATGACCGTATTTTACAGCTCAGCGTACGATGCATTCGTAAATTAATTCCTATCGTTAAACTTCATTAATTTTGGACCTGATACCCATTCGAATAGTTAGCAATAATAACCAAGAATAGCATAAAAATTCGTCGGTCATGAATAATGTCGTTATCAATTAATAATTTTTATTTAAAAAACTGCTTTCAATCACTGGGTGGGTGACTTTATATAATTTTAGAATCGAAAATTTTTCTTCGAAAATCGTTTATAACTCTAAAAATATTTGATATTTCTATAAAACTATATCACTATACTATAAAAATATATCATTTTTCTGAAGTGAACCACATGACCATTTTTCGATTAGCTTATTATTATAATGTTTATTAAACAATTTTTGAAGGAACTGTTTGACAAAAATCAAACTTTTTTTGGAAAGCTGCCATTTCCACAATTTTCACCATTGAGCTAAAATCATAAGTGACTGAATGAAAAAAGTCTTCAACTTCAAAAGGATATTCGTTTTTTGTTCTAAGTATCATAGGACCCGAAAAAAGTGTCCGTTAGTCAAAGAATTGCTTTTTGTAAATTTACACATGTATTATTAGTTCTAAAAGTCCCGAATTGAATGACTTATCGTGAACTTCGCAAAAAAATTCCTGAATATTTCGCTGCTGTGAAATAGTAAGGATAATTATTGTAAATTTTATTATTTTATAGGTGGATATCAAATGAATCAAACGCGTTTAAAAACTAACAGTATTCCATCCATATTTCCGTGGGAAGTAAAAGACAATCAAGAAAGTAACCCAGCTACGGTATTATACAGTGTACTATTTTATTCAACGTTTATTACGTACATGTTTATAATGCTTTCTTTGCGCAGGTGAAAGATGAACCCCAAGAAGTAGATGAACGCATTACAGAAAGTACTTTTTCTGCACATTTTAATTCTGGTTGTAACTCAAATCAAGAACAACAAAGCTTATTCAAGAATGATATAGCAATTGTCTCAACTCAACAACTCAGTTTAAATGAGTATGAAAAAATATGTACAAAAACCTCACTTAAATCAGATGAAAAGGGTAGTTTAACAAGTGATAATGACACGAGTGAAGAAACAAAATCTGTTATAGTTCAGACTCATCGAGTGTCAAGATACAATCTAGAAGATTATAGGTACAAGCCCATACCATTGCAACACTTTACAGGATTAACTTATGAAAAGATTACGGCTGTACTGCACACTCTAAAACCAGTTATGAGCCACTTTGAAAAATTAGAAAAAAGTATAAATATCACGATTCCTAATCAACTATTTTTAGTTTTATGGAAGTTAAGAAAATGTACTTGCAACTTAGAATTAGCTGAGCATTTCAATGTGAGCTCAGTGAATGCGAGTGAAATCTTTAAAACGTGGATCTTAAACATGTCTAAAACATGGTCTGACATGACTACTTGGCCTGATCGAGAGCTAGTTTATTTTTACATGCCATATGTTTTTAAAAATAATTACCCTAAAACTCGAGTCACACTGGATGCAAAAGAACTCAAAATTGATGCTCCAAGCAATCATAAGCTCAAACAAGCAACACTCAGCACATATAATAAGCTAAATGTAAAGGTTGAGACAACTCCTGGTGACTCAATTATTGACAGTCAAATAATAGAGCAAAGTAATTTACAGAAAAAATATGAATCAGATGATACGATCCTTGCCGATAAGAGCACAATACAAGATTTGAACGCTCCATGCACTGTCACTGACAAAACTCATCGAGTTCACATTGAAAAAGTTAAAAAAACATTCACGATACTCTCAAAGAAACTTACTCGTGAACTCCTTCCTTTATCATCGGAAATAATTCAAGTATGTGCAATGTTAAGTAACTTTAAAGACAATATTATTTAAATTAAAATTTAAAGTAACAACAGTATCGTTTAACGCGCTGTGCACGCTCAAATCACTCATGCCTTTGATCACGTTTCCAAGAATTTAAATAATTCGCTCTTAATTCATTGTACACCATCTACCTAGCACCACCACCAACTAAAAGACTTATTTTTATGACACACTCAAGCCGTCACTTGTTTAAGAGAAAAAAAATAATACAAAATAATGTACATATACGAATAGAAAAAAAAGAAAGAAAATGAATAATAAAGTACTTTATTTTTAATAACTTGATTTTTTTATGAATATAAACTCATTTTTTCGCTGAATATTGTAACCCTCATTACTTCATATTAAACCGTCGCTGTGCTCGGGGCATAAACTACGCCGCGATACTTCAGCGAGTAAATATCTTTTTCTTATTCTATTTTTTATGGTATTGACGTCGAAGGGTTTGAGAGGTAAGTGTATTTGCTCGATGTCAATCAAAAAGATCTGAACCAAGAATATTTTTATTAATGATTTAGACAATTTATTCATCATTTTTTCAACCTATCGAAAGATATAACAGAAGAATTTTCTTATTTATAATTTAGACAGTTTATTCTAGAATCTGTTTTTTATTTGTTGTATTTAATCATAATCAAATACTATAATTTTCTGAAAAAATTGCTTATTTTCGAATAATTTCTATAAAATAAGGTTGATGAGTGAACCGAGTACAGGCAGAGCCCCTCCAATTATAATATAAATGGAAGAGTAAAAAATTAACCACTTCATTTTTTGAAATTTCATTTTAAGGTCTTTTGAATTTGATGACAATGAAAAAAATGTTCAAACGGCTTACGTTGCTTTTTGAGACAAAAGCATATTTTACTTCGAACTTGTTTATGAAATTTCAGTCATACGTCGTAGTTATGTACAAAAACTGTTACGTGGACTGTCGAAAATTTTATAGATTCTATGTTTTTCTCCCTTTTTATTTTTTTAAGACTCAATACTTCATTCTGAAAAACGTAAAAACTTCGTTCATTAACTAACAAATCTTCCAATATATACAACAAATGATTTTGCAAGTAATGAATCATTTTATCGGAAAATAAGAAGAGAAAAAATAATTATTTTTACTGAAAAATCTATAGCAAGAAATATCAAAGGCAAATACGTATCGAAAAATTTAGTCACGTCCTCGACGTGTAAAAGCCGAAACGACAGAACTGCGACACGTCGGAGATACCCGAGATTTTCGTCCAGATGATATACTTAATGTCACTCGAGACGCATGGCTTGTATGTATGGATAGGTTGACTCGCGCGAACACGCCTTCTTCGCCAGAACAAATGCCCCGCGGTTAGCCCCTAATTCACTTTTGTATATTTATACACCCACGATTGAATCTTCCTAACTCGATTGCTCTCCATCCGAACTTTCCGGGCACATACTTACATTAGTTTTCACTATCAGGCGCAGTTACTATTTACACTCCCAATCGTCGAGAAGAGTAAACTAAAAACAAAGCCTCGGGCTCACCCTTTTTTATACTTTTCTACGTGGAATGACATTACACTCGTCTCGCATGGAAGCCATTGAAATAATAAAATATAAATATTACCTCGAGCTAATTTACAGTTTAATGTTGTACACAATAAATATTTGAAATCAATATAAATTCGAATTTATAACAAAAAATTCGGTTATAAATGAAAACTCTCAAAATATAACATTTTATTTTACAACCTTAGCCGACAATCATTAAGAAATACATAAATAATTGTCCCTCTAATTTAAGGAAACTTATAACAAAGCAGACAGTTCGGTTGAACGCATGGTACTCGTGGAACGAACGAGGGCAAATGCAAAATTGGTCGTGGCAATGGTATTTCGTGCTGCTGCTGCTGCGTCTGTTGTAATCCACAGTCAAAAATACCGCCGTTCTCGTGCACGGAGCTCGATTTATTGTTCGAAGGGAAGCTGGCAGCGGTGCAAAATTCAAAGGTACGAGGAACAGATTCCGATAGCACATTGACGAAGCAGCATCCCTGTCGACACGCGGCGAAAGATAAATCGCGCGTAGAGAAACGATTGCCAAGGTGAGATTATAAAACGCATGTATGTATAATTACCAATGATCCGGTGGCGTGCGAGCTGGTCGCGTGCAAGGGTGGAAACGCGTTCGCCACGTCCGAGTAACTCGCCTCATTGATTTTCTTTCCGACCTGCTCCTCGCTGGCCGTTGTCGTTACTTTATCGGAAGATTTGATTGGCGGTTTGAAGGCGGACACTCTCTCGGCTCTGTCGTCGGCCGAAAAATACTCGATCGCTTTGAGCAGATCTTGACCGCAGCGCTGGAGAACGAGCTGCAAAACGGCCGCCTTGGTGCCGGGAAAGAGACGAGCGAGGGTATTGAGCGACGCGACCGATACCGTCGAGGTCGACACGGATTTCTCATCGGAGCTCGACTGCTGGCAATTTTTTATACGTAAATTCTTTATAAATATCAATATAGATTCGTATGGAAATTAGTATATCTAAATAAATATAAAGGATGAATAGAAAGCAAAAATGTTCACTAAAAAATAATTATGTTTCCGCACCTTGGACGACGATGCCGCCGGGTTATCGGTAACACTCTGACCCACGGGGTTAGATTTTATTTTTCGGCCGCTGTCGCCTGCAGTTTTGTTGTCGTTGAATAAATTTTTGACACTGGGAGCGCTCGGGTTCGCTTTAGATTTGGCATCGACGTCGGGCTCGGTGACTTGCATCCCGAAAATCTTGCCCTGTGGAAGACGACTCAATTTTTGCCCCGTCGAGACTTTGGCCATGCTCAAAGCAATGGCGTCTTCCGCTGCTTGTTGCCTTTTTAAGGCTACCTAGTGATACAATAATTATTAAAAATCTCCGTGTTGAGTTTCGCATCACCTCTGTATAAAAGATTAATCATTGTGATAGACGCGTGTTTTCCGAGCGTAAGAAAGACAAACAAATGTGCTCAAGCACACGACAGAAACTCACGCGCACACATGTTCGCGCTCGAAATCACAGACACGCACTTGTCACTGGAGATGTAATATATATCGTTGATGCACTCGAAATGTATGTGGAAGCAACCCCCTCGCTTCGAGCGCGCACGATTGGCGACAATGCGCGGAGAAAAAGATCGGATATCATAATGCCTCGGCAAACGGCAATGAAATCCGATCGTCTTCCTCGTCATCCTTAATGGATTTAACATTGACGCGGATTGAAACGTTTGCTTATCATATCGTCATCGGGTACGGGAGCTACTCAGACAGAGACGTGACTATTTCTCGAGAACACAACGAAATCTTTCGCGTATTGTTTTTTTTTGTTTTTTAAAATTATTTTAATTTTATTTTAAAGCAATGCAACGCACAACAAGCGTGGTATACATCGAGTCACTGATAAAAGGTTAATACCTGAGCTGCCATGACGCGCTGCCGCTCGGCGATCAGAGAACACTTTGGACAGTAGCACTCTCGATATCGGCATTCCTTTTTGTGTCCTCTCAACCACGATATCAGACCGTGATTGCGGCATCTGGCACATTTTGGTCTTCGCTGCTTGAGCTCACTTCCTCCCGAGTCACTTTGATTATCTTCGGAGCCCTTCAATTTGACCCGCAACATTGCGAATAATCATCTATACAATTATGATTTTATGCCGGTGGAAAAAAGTAACAAAAACGAAAAACTTAGCTGTGATTGCTATCCAGCTATAAGATTGAGCGATTAATAAAATTTCGCAAGATTATCCGATTAGAGTGTTACAAGGACCGAGGCGCTCGATCGAATGATAGTAAAAATCTGTTTTCTGTAACATCAAATCAGGCGGATGATGAGCTGATACTCCGTCGCGCGAGTTTCGCTTGATGACCCTTGTATACAGCACCGGCAGTAGCAGAGATGAAGAAGCGGAAAAGCCACAAGCGCGAGCGTATGCGCGCAGACCGGCCATACGGATCACTCCGAGCTTAGGGGATGGACGTCGAAGATTCTCTTCATTGGCTCGATTTTTTGTTTATCTACCACGCCCGCTTGTTTTCTGGCTTATGCTACAGCTATATTATGTATTTAGCGGCCGCAAAACTTATATAAATGTATCGTATAGCACACGTTATTTCTTATTGGATTAAGATGATACCGAAGCAAGGTAAGAATGAAAATTTTTAAACACGTTTTCACAGTTTTCCACTTAATATTTGTCTAAGATCTGACATACATGTTGAGAATAATAGAGAATAAAATATCCTCTCAGTTTGAACATAAGTACGCAGCAGGGATTTGGAAAAATGTATTATAAATAATTTTTTTGTCATGAATTAGGTACTTCATTGATGAAGAGAAATTTTTCAAAACTAAAAAAATGTGTGCAATCATTGAATGTTTTATATGATTAGTTGAGGGATTCTCAAATTGCCTACAAATGACTTACACGTGAATTCGCAGTGACAATGAATTAAAAATACTCAAAGTTTATGAAACTTGAAAGTTCGAGTTTTGATAGGAAAATTAAAAAAAATTCTGATAGCAAGTATTTAATATTTATGAATAAACACATAAACTTGGCCAAGAAAAGCGGACAGTATTTCTATGAAAATTATTAAATCTAAAAAACGCAAATTTACAAAGGTATTTTTGAGGCAACTCTAGGTGGATTTCTATCTGTAAATTGCTTGATATTCGTCCCGCTACCTTCTCTCTCGGACACATATCGGACCTTGTGTACATTCCATTTACAGTTGTTTACTTGTAATGACATTTTAGGAGCGAAAATAGTACATCACGTAACTGAGGCGGAAAGTTGTATATCTTGGGGTTTTCTATTTTATTTAAAAATGTTTGAGATTTTCTATATCAAGATAGGAGTACTTAAACAAAAAAATTCACAGATCAAAAGTTTTTAAATTTTTCCAAGAATCTGTCAGAATTTTTTGAATCGTCCATTACCCTCTTTCAGAGACCCTAATTTGAGGCTTTTCTTGCGAAATTCAGAAACCTTTAAAAAAAGGTAATGGACGATTCGAAAAATTCTGAAAAAATTCAGACAGACTCTCTGAAAAATTTCGAAACTTTTGATCTGTGCATTTTTTGTTCAAGTGCTCCTATCTTGATAAAAAAAATCTCAAAGATTTTAATAGAATAGAAAATCCCTTTTAAAATGGGCCCTAAGGCCCATTCAATAAAACTAAGCATAGGGAGCTTTATTATTAGGTTCCTGGAGACTCCAAACTCCTGGAGACTCGGGTCAAACTCATAAAAATATCTCAAATTTAATCATTTATATTTGCATTTATTAAACAATCGTTCTTGTAATCACAGCGTATAAAAGTGATGTACTATAATGTAACAATAATCAATTGTAATGTTTTATCTAGTTTGAAACAACAAAAAATAACAATATTAACTAAATACGTGAGTAAACAATAATATATTGGAACTATATTGTGAACTGATTATTTTTTTCAGGGGGAAATATTTCTCTTGTAAAATTTTTTTTGAGTATCAAGAGGTGCGGTAGCACCTAGCCGGCAAAGTATAAAAAAAAAATTATTAAAAAAAAATTTTCGAGAAGAAATTTTTCAAAAAAAATTTTTTATGAAAATTTAAAAAAAAAATTTTTTCAAAAAAAATTTTTCAAGAAAAATTTTTTATGAAAATTTTTCAAAAAAAAATTTTTCAAAAAACAAATTTTTATGAAAAAAAAAAAATTTTTCAAAAAACAAATTTTTATGAAAAAAAAAAAATTTTCAAAAAAAAATTTTCATGGAAAAAAACATTTTTCAAAATAAAATTTTTATGGAATAATTTTGATAAAATGATGTTTATAAAAAAATATAATTGTTAAAATAAATTTATTCCATTGAAATGCATAGAAATTAGGCTTATTAGCTAAGAAATGTCGGCTAGGTGCGGCGCACCTATTCTATACGTCTGCACGAGAGAAATAAAAAAAGGTAGTTCTAGTCAGGGTACTTCCGGTATTCGAAGTGCTACCAGATAGGTATCATTCGATAGGGAATTGAAAATAATGAACTCATGCAAATTTTCAGATGATTTGGTGCATTGGATAAAAAGATAGAGCCATCCAAATTTTTTTTAGCATGAAAACACGTTTTTTTCCGATTTTTTGTCAAACATGAGTCAGCCACGAGATCTCGGGAAATACTTAACCGATCGAAATTCTGACGCGAGATTTGGAAAGGTATACAGCTCTACTACAATAGTTCACTATCAGAATTTCCGATTTCCCGGAAAATTCGTCTTGTAAATCGATAATTGAGTGAAGTACCGTTTAGAGGTTATGTTTCAAATATGTTTCAAATTTCGTTTTCATGTCAGCCACGAGATCTTGGCGAAAAAAAATTTTAACCAAATTCTGTCCGGTGATTCGGAAAGGTCTTGCGCCGTACTACAATAGTTCACACTCAGAATTTTCAATTTTCAGAAAATTTAGAGCTCTTTATCGATTTTTAACTCGGGCGCTATTTTGTGATATTTTTGCATACGCGTGTGAAATCGTTGCATTTGTGTCAGCCACGAGATCTTGGCGAAAAAAAATTTTAACCAAATTCTGTCCGGTGATTCGGAAAGGTCTTGCGCCGCACTACAATAGTTCACACTCAGAATTTTCAATTTTCAGAAAATTTAGTGCTCTTTATCGATTTTCAACTCGGGCGCTATTTTGCGATATTTTTGCATACGCATGAGAAATTGTTGCATTTGTGTCAGCCACGAGATCTTGGCGAAAAAAAATTTTAACCAAATTCTGTCCGGTGATTCGGAAAGGTCTTGCGCCGCACTACAATAGTTCACACTCAGAATTTTCAATTTTCAGAAAATTTAGAGCTCTTTATCGATTTTTAACTCGGGCGTTATTTTGCGATTTTTTTCCATACGCGTGTGAAATCGTTGCATTTGTGTCAGCCACGAGATCTTGGCGAAAAAAAATTTTAACCAAATTCTGTCCGGTGATTCGGAAAGGTCTTGTGCCGCACTACAATAGTTCACACTCAGAATTTTCAATTTTCAGAAAATTTAGAGCTCTTTATCGATTTTTAACTCGGGCGATATTTTGCGATTTTTTTGCATACGCACGAGAAATCGTTGCATTTGTGTCAGCCACGAGATCTTGGCGAAAAAAAATTTTAACCAAATTCTGTCCGGTGATTTGGAAAGGTTTTAAGCCGTACTACAATGGTTCACATTCAGAATTTTCACTTTACAGAAAATTTCGAGCTTCGATTATTTACTAGTTCGCTATTTTTCGATATTTTTCATTCCTTTGAATAATCGTTGCTTTGTGGTAAGCAGAGATCCTATCCTCAATGAATGGTTTTCAATTTTGAAAAAAAATCCAATGCGCACTCTATATGTACATATTCAAACTATTAACATCTCAACATGTGAAACTCATTAAAACTCAAAATATGACATTGTTAAAATATCATTTTTCGATTTAACTACTTATAAATAAGTATGAGTCCCGGCAAAGTATTTTTTTAAATTTGAACAATTTTACGAAAACTCAAAATATGACATTGTTAAAATCTCATTTTCCGATTTAACTACTTATAAATAAGTATGAATCCCGGCAAAGTATTTTTTTTCATCCTTCACTCATTGACTTTTTCTCCCATCTCTTAATGGATAACCATTATAGAACTTTTTTATGATGACCATTATTTGCTAAGAAAATTTAAGAAAAATTAGAAGTTTGAATGAATTACTGAAAGATTATATCGACTCATAAAATATAATTCATTAAAATGTTTAAATATCGAAATAATCGTCAAAGATCACTTTGCGTGCCCAGAGCTCATTGGCTTACATGTGAACAAAATCAATCTAATGCATCGAAAGAATTCGCACTTTTAATAATTTTAAACATTTTTCATACCATTTAGTTGAATCCTTTCGAGTACATACATACAGAGAAACCTCGATATTTACGGTTTCACTATATATCCACGATTTTTTCTAATTCACATTTTTTTTTGTGCAACTATCACTCGATCTATATACGCGAATTTAAAAAGTCAGTATTCACGGTGTTGACTGGTTTTATAATTTTGTTGCTGAAGATGCAATAAGTAAAATGATTAAAGTCACCATTTCTAGAATATAATATTATGGAAATTTTATTTCAAGGTCAAACTTAATGTGATATAAATTCTGAGTTGTTATTTACGATGTCAAGAAGTCTATTATTTTATTAAACTTAACTATATTTTCAGCATACACTTGCATCAACTTTTCCTAAATTATTTCTTTAAATTCAATAAAAATAAAATATAAATAAGTCCAATTTAACATTCATTTTTAGAGATTATACATGAAATAAAAAGTAGTTTTACTAATTGAAGCCTCTGAAAAATAAAAAAAATGTCACGACAGCACTTGGTGGCCAATGAGCTCTGGGCACGCAAAGTGATCTTTGACGATTATTTCGATATTTAAACATTTTAATGAATTATATTTTATGAGTCGATATAATCTTTCAGTAATTCATTCAAACTTCTAATTTTTCTTAAATTTTCTTAGCAAATAATGGTCATCATAAAAAAGTTCTATAATGGTTATCCATTAAGAGATGGGAGAAAAAGTCAATGAGTGAAGGATGAAAAAAAATACTTTGCCGGGATTCATACTTTTAATTTTACATTGCAAATACGTTCATAATATAATTAAAAATATTATATAATTTAAAATATCTATTGTTAACATTTTTTTTTTGTTATAGTTGTTCAAATAAAAATACGTTTACCACTGTTAAATTGTGTTATATATTTTTGATTTACTAAATGCCAACAAAAATTTTACAATAGATATTTGGGATTCAATCTTTACACGTATTTGAATTTCGGGCTCACTGTATGATAGTGTGCTTACATAGAATGTCAGCAGAGGTCGTTGCAGTTACCGGCATCGCATCTGGTCTATTTACCACTCGATCTACGTGTTGCAGTGAAAGAAGCGATCTACGACGCCGCTCCGCGCTGTAAAAAGTCTAGTTGCTGACGGCGCAAGCTGCTGTAAGCATATAGTCGCACTTCAGTTGGTTCAAAACAATCAAGGCGTACACTTGTTTGCAGTCAGAAATTTCTTGTGTAAAGTTACAAGTGAAAAAGTGTAGACAGAAGAATACTAACGATGGCTGATCCACTAAGCTTACTGAGACTGTACAATGTTTCAAAAAAGGAGATCATCGAACGAGATGGACAAATAATTTTCGGTGAATTCAGTTGGCCGAAGAACGTAAAAACGAATTATTTGACTTATGGGTTAGTATTACTTTCGAGTTCTCATGATGACATCTGCTGTTGTATAGTTTTACATTAGAAGCCATGATATTACATTTTTTTATTAGTTATCTTATTAGTTGTCATACAAACGCTTCTTTAATCACTTTTTTCAAACATAACCTCTATTTGTGGTGGGCTTTATTTTTTGGTGAACTATCAATTTTGATTGTGTATATCAAGTAAAAATACGTATTTGGGAAATGATCAATGTTTTATTTTATTTATTTGTTTACTCTGCATTAAACTATATCTGTATTGCTGTACTGTACATACACACCCTGTAGACTGGCTGGCTGCGTCTGCCACCCTGTAGGCTGGCTGTGTCTGCCACCCTGTAGACTGGCTGTTCTAAGATGACTATAGTGATTCATAATGATTTACTTTTGTATATTTGATTTGTCTATATTATCTACAATAAACTGAACAATATTCTAAACAGTCACAGGCTTCATTCATTTTATTAAATTTATTGACCCTACTGAACTATCTTGATACTAATTAATTGCATGTATTTTACTGTATGTAACTGAGCAATGATGATGACTGTTCAACTTAGAATAATGATATAATTATAGTGAATTGAGTGACATTCTAACCATTTGCATTCTTTATTTAATATGATAAATTTATTATTATTTATTAAAGAATATTTTACTAATAACAAAATTTTTTTTAAATTTAGATCTGGCAAAGACGGAGCTGCGAAGGAGTATTATACTTTGGAGTGTTTATTGTTCTTGCTAAAACATGTGCAGCTTACACATCCAGTGTATGTGCGGCAAGCAGCCACAGAAAACATACCTGTGGTACGTCGACCCGACAGAAAAGACCTACTCGCTTACCTATATGGCGAATCTTCTACGTCAACAGCTATTGATAAATCTGCCCCCCTAGAAATTCCAACTCAAGTAAAAAGAACTGCTGAAGATGGTTTGGAAGGGTTACCAGCAACAAAAAAACCTCGCTTTGAAGAAACTCATGTCCAGAAAGTGAAAGAACAACTTGCGGCCAGATTAGATGCTCCAAAAGAAGCTTCTGTCACAGTGGATAATATAAAATCCCTTTCTGAGGCAATGTCAGTAGAAAAAATTGCAGCTATTAAAGCCAAACGTCTGGCTAAAAAAAGAACAACAATTAAAGAAAACGATGATATTGGTATGGGTTCGGATCTCAGAGTAATTCTTGACATGGATGTAGATGAAACAAAAGATATTGTCGCAAAAGAAAGACAGTGGCGGACAAGGACAACAATTTTACAAAGTAGTGGCAAGACCTTTGCTAAAGATATTATGGCCATTCTCCAAAGCATCAAAGTCAGAGAAGAGGGTAGGCACAAAGCTCCTATGGCTCCTGCTCCAATGATTACACCTCGTTCAACCCCAATGAGACCATTACCACAGCCCGCTGTGTACAATCGGTACGATCAAGAAAGATTTATCCGTCAAAAGGAAGAAACAGAAGGCTTTAAAATTGATACTATGGGTACTTACCATGGTATGACTTTAAAATCAGTGACGGAAGGAACAAATCCAGCTATTAGAAAACCACAGCCATCGTCACATGGAAATCCTAGTTCTACTCCGTCAAATGAGCATATGTCTACTTCTGCAAGTAAATCAAATCCGCAAATTTTACAGAATAAACGTCCAAGTCGAACGCCTATAATAATAATACCTAGTGCTAATACATCATTGATAACCATGATCAATGCAAAAGATATACTTCAAGATTTAAAATTTGTCTCCAATGAAGAAAAACGTAAGCAAGGTGCTCGCAGAGAAAATGAAATATTGCTACAACGTCGAAAAGATGGTGGGCTAACTGTACCATACCGTATTGTGGATAATCCACTAAAATTAACACCTTCAGACTGGGAACGCGTAGTTGCTGTATTTGTTATGGGTCCTGCTTGGCAATTCAAAGGTTGGCCCTTTGATGGAAACCCAGTGGAAATATTCAGTAAAAGTAAGTTTAGTCCTATGCAAGAAACAAGAATAATGTAACATTTTCTTTTGTTCATAATTTTTAATGTCTCCTTTTTTTTTCAGTTTCCGCATTCCACATAAAGTATGATGAGATGCGTGTCGACACCAACGTGGCACGTTGGGCTGTCACAATTATTGAGCTATCCAAAACAAAAAGACATTTGGATCGAGCAGCGATAATGCAATTTTGGGAAGTATTAGATGCTCACATGATTAAAAACAAGCCCCATCTTAGGTTTTAATGTTACAACAACTTACTGTACATAGATTCATCGTTATTATGTATTAAAATTAAGTAGAATACTGTAAAATATTAATTTAAGTACGAATTTAAGTAGAATACTGTATAATAAATACTGTATAATAAATACTGTGTAATAAATACTGTGAAATGACAACAAAAATTAAAACAATATCTTTTTCATTTGTCGCCTACAAATAATTTGATGCATCATGAAGATTAAAGTTTATACCTTGAAACAATATCATAAGTCTGGGGTGAATTAGGCAAGACTGCAAGTCTATCCCTAAGCTACTTGTATAATAATATACTAATACTTGGTATGCTTTGATAAATTGACATTGAGTAGTGATATAAAATTTCTGAAAAATAACTCGATGAATTTAGAAAAACGCGTGTAAATTTGTTCTCGAGTCAAGCAGAATCGTTCTCATTTAACAAAGTCCGTAAATTCACTGGCACAAAAAAAGGAAATTATTTTCAAAATAAGGAGAAATTATGAAACGAAATAGAAATGAATAAATAAAAGAACAACGTTATTCAATCATTTGCAGAATAAAGTCCCAATGTATTTTGTATGAAAATCTAAATACTCTTTGTAGTAGTTTATTACGCAATCTCTATAATTACAAACTATTTTGACAAAAAATGTTTTTACCTCGTCCAACCATTAAGATTGAACTCGTTCATCACAATTTTCACGTGTTCGCGTATAAATATACACGAGCTATATTGGCTATATCACATATTAACTATAAATATTAAAATATCACGTAAAAGATGTTCAATGCAATTTTCACGAGCTCATCCAGCAAGCCAGAAGACTGCCCAGAAGCAGTTGAGCAACGGTGAGGATAGCCAGTGGAAGATCGAGCGCGGCCACCCGGTATCTGTCTGCAGTGGGCGCGGCCGCACCTCCGTGTCCGAAGGCCGTCCTCACCAGCCAGCCGCCGTAGCCGACGGACTTGTAGGTGCAGGCGAACACCGAGGCCAGCAGCACGTCCTGGCTCTGCTTCAGCCAACCGTTGCACAACGTCCAGCACAGGCCCGTCACGATCATTTGGCTCGCGCAAGCTGCGCGTATGCATATAGAGAAATTTTCCTCGTCGTTATTCGATTCGGGCTCTCGATATATATACGTAAATCGCTGAGATCGCATATGTTTATACTGACCGACCAGCACGCAGAGAAGAATATCGCCGGGATGCATCGAGGCGGCGTCGATGCTGAACGCGTCGCAGAACAGATTGTAGGCGATGAACAATTCGAGTCCTTTGGGCAACCACATTGTGCGATGTTTGCTGCTGCCGCCGTCTTCCTGCATCTTGGCCCATTTATACAAGGCAGAATCGGCTGGACCGTGACGTAAGATCGAGCGTAGACTCACGCCGATCGCCAGAGGCACGAGGGTGCCGAGAACCGACTCGCGAAAATTGATCTCGTTCATCGGCGGCACCGTTGCACCGAGCTGTGAGAGACCCCCCCATAAAATGAGAAAACTCGTTCACTCGTAATTGACGTAATTATATGCGATCGTATTCACCGTGACGTAGAGGAGAATCGGCGAGATGAGCAGCCCGGCGAATCGACAGGTCAGGAGAGCCACGACGCTGGTCGGCACATCGGCTCGGGCGATTCTGCCGAGGACCAGGCTCGTGCTGAAGGGCGGCGGCAGGCAGTGCAGCACCTCGACGCCGTCGAGCAGTCGCCGATTGACGCCCAACGCGTCGAGCAGCCTATTACCCAGGCTGCACAGAGTCGGCGCGAGCCCGTAAACGAAGCCCAGCAGGAAGGACAGTAGGTAGCCGTCCCTGAGGCAGTCCAACAGGGCTCTCGGCTCGCACAGCAGTCCGGCCTCGAGGTACAGCAGCGGAATCGCGAAGTACCATATCGCCTTGTTCCCGTCGACGAAGCCTGTATAGGGAGATTCGAAGGTCGCACATTCAGTCGAGAGAAATTACGTTGCCGGTATATGTACCGGAGTTATACAAGGGCGTGTGGCACGTGGCCAAAAGTTCAACGTGCATCATTATTACGTATGCCTACATCGGTACACACCTACCCACTCGTGCCGACTAATTACTCTAGCTAAAATGTGCATATGTCTGTATTAAGAGGGATAGATTCGCGAGACAACGATAAATACCTACCCTTGCTTCCACCCAGTCGCGAGGTAAAAAAAGCCAATAACATACATATGTTCATGCACGCGAAAAAGCTATACTGTAAAAAAATTGACTCTCGCTTGATTCTTTTGGTTCTTGTCGTTGCGATTACTAACGGCCGATCGTCGCAGCCGCTCGCATCGATCTTCATCTATAACTGATCCGCGTCGATTCATCTGCAAAAATAAAAAAAAGAGGAGCGAATTTTACGATCCGAGATTATGTTTATTCGAGCAGTATACACTATGATGGTCTTACCTTGATTTCGCTGCTCTTTATAATCTTGGATATAAAATTTGTAATGAAGCGGGATTGTTTTAAAAAATTCTACGAGTAACTATTATTAAAATCTATTATATCTATCTATTATGATGAATATAACTAGAAAGTGACATTGCATGAAGTTTAGTTTAGTGCAGTGGACGATCCTCAGTATTATTTATTTATTTAATGTTTTTTTTTCAAAGAGAGCTGCTCATAATTTACATCCATTTGGATTATAAAATTGTATGAATCGATCTCTTATGAAGTTGAACTCTGCGAACTAAATCAATGGGTATTAAAGTATTGATTTATTTAAATAAAAGAATATAAAATATACAAGGTGTTTTTTTAAAAACTAAAAAGTCAATCAACGTCGATGAAAGTGTAAATGATTCTCCATAGCTTATAAAGTCTGAAAACTTGCAACAGACGTTAAAAATTAATTCACATCGAAGGCCTCGGTGTAGATTGAATATAAAAAGGACAATGAATTTGAGTAACTTTTGAAGTAGACTTTATTAGCATCAAAATCAAAATTACAGTGCAAAATGTATAATTTCATAGTATTAAACTTCCATAAAGGAAGCTAAATTAGGCCATTCAACAATCGTATCGCCAAAAAGATGCAGATAAATATTACGGAAGACTATATATAAATTGACTATAAATCTAAATAAGAGTGTGTCCTTTGATAAGAGTCTTTACATCCTATGGATGCTGATTTAAGAAATGCACAATGTCCTAAAAAATTTATGATAATAATAAATCGTTCGATCATAAATGAATACGTAAATTTGAGGTAATTTATTCAACTAAAATTAGGTATAAGCTAGTAAGTCATGCATACAAGATTGCTTCGATATAATACGCTAACAAGGTACATTATCAGAGAAGTATCGTAATGTAATTGAGAGTGGATCGTAAATGACTCCCATTAACGGAGGCTTACTTGTTAAATCGAACGAGTTCTCCTAATTTCTACACAGGAAACAGTGTCACGAGTCAATATATATACATGCGAAGGAATCCAAAGACTCTCTATCTCTCTCGCGTCGCATGCGACGAGCGACTGCATCGGCGTCGATGCAGTTATATATATACCCTGTACCAGCATGCGCAGTGCAAAATGCCGCATTTCTCTCTCGGCCGCAGGAGAGAAAATCGTTGCGCCGCGAACTTTGCGGCCTCGTCTTGCGTGAAAATCCAAGCGCAACGATATCTGCGCACTTTTTTGAACTTTTTTGCACTCCTTCTGTCGAGCTTGATAAATGAAAGATTCAACAACCTTGAATGATGCATCTATTATGGGTAATTTTTTAAAAGGCGTTTAGAAAATAGACGCAATGTAAAATTGGTTGAAGTAATTTTTATTGCATTTAAAATATTCATCACATAATAAAACATATATAAATAGAAAAAATATTCACAATGATTGCTCCAATTTGATTTTTTTTCAAGTAAACTTTTTGATTTTAAATAATATTTTACAATAAAGTTGTTTGAAAAAATTAATCACTTTTAACCTAAGTAAATGAAATGCTACAATTATTATAATTATTAAATTGTGAACGAGGTACTTTTGTGCAGCAGTGAATGCACATATCACAGATCAGTTTTTTGAGGCCTTATCAGTGTAATAAATCTTTGCTAGAGAAAACTTATTACAGTATTATTTATTTACAGTACGTATTTACAGTAGCACGAATTTTTAGAATTAAATTTTCCTCGACTGGGAATCGAACCCTTTCCCGAATTGGAATAGACTCACTTTTAGTCGTCGAGTGATATACGAAATCCGGTCTCATCCTAGTCTCAGATGGACTTACAATTATGAATTATTTACAGTATTTACAACAAATTATCTTAAAGTTATAGTGAACGATTAATTATATTGGTCGCGATGTGAATGTGTGTCTAACTATGGATATATGGACTAATAGTTGTTGTGTACTTTGTTGTGTAGCAGTGCATGCACATATCACAGATCAATTTTTCGAGGCCTTATACCGTGTAATACATCTTCTGTCCAAAAGCAAGCTTGTTCTTACTCGAAACATAAGCAATAAGTAAAAAAATCGTTTATTAACGCTAGGAGCTTGTATGGTACATAATACATAATAAACACTAGCTAAAGGTGAGAGTTCCCGGTTCAGGAAAATTTAGGTTGTGGTACAATTTTCTTGCTATATGCAATTATTTTATAACATAATTTGAAAAATCATTTTTGCCCTGTTTAACTTTTAACATTTGTATTACATATTTATCATCCGTATAGTAAGAAATCAGCACAGTTTCAATGAAAGTTAGTAATTAGGAGTTAAAATTATAATAGAAAAAATAGAGTAGATGGCAATCACAATTTCAGTGTCATAAAAATAGTAGTAAGAATATGGATCGTATATAAATTAAAATTTGAAAAACATAATTCAAGTTTCGGTTCAACTATAGCCGGGCTTCACGAGAGGGAGTCAGTATGATGTAAGTAAAAAAACAATGTCCTGTCAAGTACACAAATAGTGATTGATTTGACAATAGCCTTGATAGCGAAATTGGTATCGCACTCGCCGGCTAAAGGCGAGTATATTCATAATTTTATGGCTCTTTTTGCAGTCGAGGAAAATTTAGTTCTAAATTCGCACTAGCAATAAGTAGCTCTGTAATAAGTTTCCTCTCCAAGAACAAACGTCCACCAAACTAGCTTTCGGACAAAAGATGTATTATACGGTATAAGGACTCGAAAAACTGATCTGTGATATGTGCATGCAATGCTACACAACAAAGTACACTACAACTATTAGTCCATATATTCATAGTTAGACACACATTCACATCGCGACCAATATAATTAATCGTTCACTGTAACTTTAAGATCATTTGTTGTAAATACTGTAAATAATTCATAATTGTAAGTCCATCTGCGACTAGGACGAGACCGGATTTCGTATATCACGCGACGACTAAAAGCGAGTCTATTCCAATTCGGGAAAGGATTCGATTCCCAGTTGAGGAAAATTTAATTCTAAAAATTCGTGCTACTGTAAATACGTACTGTAAATAAATAATGCTGTAATAAGTTTTCTCTAGCAAAGATTTATTACACTGATAAGGACTCAAAAAACTGATCTGTGATAAGTGCATTCACCGCTGCACAAAAGTACCTCGTTCACAATTTAGATACACACTCGCATACACGACTGATATTAGCAAAAAGAAAAAAATTTTTTTCATTTTATATGGTCAAGCCATTCTTTACTTTGGTATGCAAATAGACTTATATGCTATTTTTAGACTGTCATGACTTTAGTTATACTTATATACATTCATTCAAATCTGTCGTGAATTTTATGATACCAAGGAAAATTACAAAGATTAAGAGTACAACCTTTCAAAGATGAATTTTTGAACTTTTTTGCGAACTAGTTGCATACAGCAAAAAAATTTTACTTCCACCCGGATTTGGACCGGGAACTCTCGCCTGTAGCCGGCGAGTGATATACGATTCCGACCTTATCCCAGCCTCAGATGAACTTATGAGTATGTTTTATGTACACTATATACAGCAAGCTCTTAGCGTTAATGGAGGGTTTTAATTACTTATTGCTAATATATCGACGAAAGTTGCAGTTTTGAATGAGAGTTTGCATTTGCAAACTGAAGTCGTGACATGATGTATAATTGTCGTTACAAAAATAAGGTAGTATTTAGCCGGGAGCAATGAGAGGGATCCAATATGAAGTAAGTAAATCAAAGCAATGTCCCGACATATACACAAATAGTGATTGATTCAACAACATCCTCGATAGCGAAATTGGTATCGCACTCGCCGGCTATAGGCGAGTATATTCCGAATTTTCCGGTTCGATTCCCAGTCAAGGAAAATTTAGTAATAATATCGTTCAGAATAATGTTTGTAATATAAAAAGTAACGCTGCAATAAATCTTCTCTTGAAGCGAACATTGAGAGAAGATTTATTGCAGTGTATAAGGCTTCTCAATACAATACGCTGTGATATGTGCATTCGGTTTAGCACAAAATAGTTAAATTATCGTTACCTCGTTCGGTACTCATAGTCATAATAACATTAAGTAATTAAAATCATCCATTAACTCTTAGAGCTTGCTGTAAATAGTGTACATAAAAAATATTGATAAGTTCTTCTGAGACTGGGATGAGGTCGGATTTCGTATTTCACTCGCCGGCTACAGGCGAGAGTTCTCGGTTCAAATCCGGGTCGAGGTAAAATTTTTTTGCTGTATGCAACTAGTTGCAAAAAAATTTAAAAATTCATCTTTAAAAAGTTGAACTCTTAATATTTGTATCTCTTTCTTTGTCTTACACGTGGGTTACGAGCTACAATGGAAGCAGCACCGAATTTTGCAGCATTCTCCAGCTATAGTTGATTTTTACCGGTTCAAGTCAGGTTTTAGAAGATTATAGTTTTTTTTAGCAGAGCCGAGGCCTTAGCATAGATAAAAGTGGTAGTAAATTAAAATAGGTGAAGTAAGATAAAAATAGGTTTTTAATTAGCAGGTTTAGGAGCTTTTAAGTTAGTACAAGATATAAGCATAGATGAAAATACAAATAAGTATAGAGTATAGAGTATAAAGTATAGATTAAGTAATATATCGTTGCCATTATCAATAGGCTCGACTAAAACTTTTGTAGCTAATATTTGTCTTTGACGACGACTAATTATAAATTAAAATTTAAAATTATACACATCGTTATTCAATTTCGCATTGAAAATTGCACCGTTTTAAAGTAAAGCTAAATTACTTACACGATTACACAACTGATGGCCGTAATTCGTCATACGGCTGAATAAAAGCTAAAGTATCACAGTTAAACATTCGAAAATTCATCCACTGTGCCCAGCCTTAATCTAAAAAAATCTCTCTTCGACATGTAATCCGAAATTTGCGAACATATCTCTACAGGCAGATGAGTCGTCTGTCTCATCATTTCTACGAATCTCTCGGCGAGCTTCGCCCTTATCACGGCGTGCCTGTTTCGCGTTCTCAAGTGTCCGTGGAAAATTGGAAACTCGCTTTCCAAGTGCTCGGACTTGACGATCGTTTGGAAAACCGCGTTGCCTGCGAGGAAGTACAGTTGATTGGGATGCGCCGTCACCACGTCGGCCAGCGTCATCGTCGAGTTCAATCGGATGTCCTTCATCTTTTGCGTCTCTCGCTCGGCGGCGTCTTTCAGCAGCGCATCGTGCTCGAAGCGTAGGTTATCGTCCCTCAGCAGCGTTTGATCGTAAAAGCTCGTGGTTTTCGGATGATGCTCGATTCCGATCTTGCTGTAGGCGAGTATGTACATGCAGATGTGCGCCCTCCACTCCTTCATCCAGGGATCTTCTTGATTCAAGAGACTGCCGAAAGGCGATACTCCTAGGGCGTGAGGCGCCTCGATGCTGAGTAAGTTGAAGTCATAACCATCGTCCAGCGACGGAAACGAGATCCTCGCCTCGTCTCCTTGGATGTTATCCTTCCACGGGTATTTGCAAGCCAAGCTGAGCACGGTGTCGTTGTTCATATTGGTCAGATTGACGTCTGCCCCGGCGTCGAGAAACAGCCTCATCCATCTTGGTATTACTTCGCTCAACCTCTCGCCTTCCTGAAATCGATTAAAACATATTTTATCAGTGATATAATTCAAATTGCTTAAGCTAATTAATTAAGCTGCATCTAGTCTCACCATTGGTCGTCTGGCGTAATCAGCGACCAAAAGCAGCGGCGTCTTCAAGTCGAGACCCCGGGCATTGACGTCGGCGCCGTGATTGACCAGCAGCTCCGCGATCTCGTACTGGCGCGAGAGTACCGCCAGATGCAGAGGAGTGCATCGACCGAAGCATCGGCAGTTCCGGTCGATAGCCACGTCGATCTCCTCGGGCTGATACAGCAGGCCGACTTTCACGGCGTGCAGGTTCTGCTCGAAGACGGCCATGTGAAGCCGAGTGAAGTTGTAGGTCTCGACGTCGTCCTCGGGCCAATCGGCGTGATGCTCCAGGCAGAGCCCGACGAGTCGCACGTAGTCGAACCTCGGGCGCTCGATCGAGCCGTGCCAGTACATACGACTGAGTATCATGTCGAGCGGCGTCTGGCCCTGCTCGTTCCTCTCGAAGCCGATTCGGCAGCCGGTGTCGAACAGATGCTCCGCCATCTCCACCCGATCGAACTCGATGGCCATGTGCAGCGCCGTGTAGCAGGAGAAGAGCTGCGTGTTGTCGCCGGTGCTGAGACACAGCGCCCCCGGATCATCCTCCAGCATCTGTTGAACCAAGCCCAGGCTATGCGGCGAATCGGCCGCGCAGAGTATGTGAATGTAGCAGATGCCACCCTGGGCCCCGATGTTGTCGGTGATTCGCCTCCTGGCCAGTCCCGCGATTATTCTCAGCATTATTTCCTCGTATTCCGCGTAGCCGCGCACCCACCTCGTGAAGGCGATGTGCAGCGGCGACTGGTTCTCTCTGCTCAGCGCGTGGATGAACGACTCGGGAGCGTTGGCCATGTAGTAGTCGACCAGTTCGGCGTTGGCCTGATACACCGCCATGTGCAGTCCGTTGTTGCCCGGTAAAAAGTCCTCGTCGAGCATCTCGAGGTAGCTGTCTAGCTGTGCGCGCGAGGGTGGATGATCTTCGCCGCCGTTGCGGCTGCGGAGCTGGCTCGCCGCGTATTCCTCGATCATGTAGGCTATCCGGGCTCGGCCTAGATCCTCGGCGAGCTGCCGGACGCTCGCGAGCTGGGGCTCGCACGGGCCCACCCGGCCCGGGTAGTTGAGCAGATAATACACGGCGTCGCGGGCGTCGTTCTCCACGGCGTAGTGGAGCGGCGTGAGACCCTCGGCGTCCGGCCTGTTCACGTCCGACCGATTGTCCGGCCGCAGCAGCAGGGCCTTGATCGCGTTCACGCAATTGTTGGCGCACGCGATGTGCAGATGCGTGACGCCCTTGCGCGAGCACGGATTGCTCGGCCACTCGACGTGCTGGTGCAGCAGCTGGTCGACCATGTACTGCGACTGCCGGTCCCAGGCCATATGCAGCGGCGAGTCCAGGTCCTCGTTCTGGTCCGTGACGCAGGCGCTGGCGTCCAGCAGCACCGAGATCATCGAGTCGTCGTCCTCGGCCACGGCGAGGTGCAGCGCTGTGGAGCCGCGCGCGTCCACCTCGTTCATTATTTGGCCCCGGCTTATGAGCTTCGTGGCCGCCTCGATGTTCTTGCGGCGCACCGCCACGTGCAGATGATTGTGGCTCGTCCCGTGAAGCCGGCACGGGGGAAAGTCCTCGAGCAGCAGCAGATCGACCAGCTCGTCGTTCCTGTCCTTGGCATTGTATGCCGTGTACAGGAGGCTCGACGAGGGCCTCTTGGGATTGTAGGCGTAGGTCGCGTGCGGATGGAGCTTCACGTTGCTCACGATTATTTCCGCCAGGTCGCTTCTGCCGTCGCGGATAGACTGCGCCGCCATGCCGTAGAACATTTCGGTACTTATCTGTAAGTCGTTGCTCCTTCTGAAGCCCTCTTGCGAGAAGATCTCCAACAGGTCCGCGTTCCGTTTTTGCCAAACGAACTGATAAACGAGATGCTGTCGATGTATCGTCATGCTTCGCATGCACGAGGACAATTTGAGGGCTTCCTGCGTATCGTCGCTTAAAATTGCCTGGCACAATTTCTTGTATGAGTCGAAGGCCCACGACTCGAGGCGAGCCGTATCCATTCTCGACTTTCTCTCAGCCATGCTGCGTACGCTCGAGTTTAATTATCACTTCGCGGTTTAACGACAATTTGATCACTCTCTGATTGCTACTGCTCGATTCAATCGAAAAACGGCACGCGGATCGTAAGGGATCATCGAGAGGCACACGAACTGCAACTTTTTACATAAAAAAATGTCTATCTCACTACCGGCGAGCATGTATAGATGCTTATACGCGGTTAGATTGCTACTCACGCTCCCGGCTACGCTCGGCTTCCGTTCTAATTTTTGTCTCGCTGGCAACTGACTAGAAATCTAAATTTCACTTTCTCTTTCCAAATTTCTCTCTTTTCGGCGTACTTATAGAAGTCCGTTAGAGACGTCGCAGATGTGACCAGATCAAGAGAGGGGGACATTTGAATTAATTTGATCGTCGTTATAGTAATTGATACGAAATTAATAAGTACAGTATAGAACAGTACAGTATGAAATACACAAGTATTTCATTTTATTTACATCGTGAAATATTTATCTTTCGAGAATTTTTCAACAAAAAATTTACTGTTTTTAAAGTATTTGGGGTGACATAATTTTACCCAGGAGCTCGTAAGTTCCTGAATGAAAATCTCAATAGAAGGAAAAAACTAATTTTTTCAATAATTCTTGTAGTAAATTTTATAGGAAATGGAATAGTTATAATCTTAATTATATTATAGGTATTAATTGCAATTATAATGATTAATTGAATGATGAAATTATATTAATTGAAGTTATAAAATTAATTATATTATAGATATTAATTGAAATTTATAGCAGGTAAAAGTAATACGATAGAAATTCATAATGTAGAAATTTATTTCATTATAATTGAAAATTTTTCAATACAATTAAATAAGGAATTTATTTACAATAATTTATTTGTCATCAATTCTAAACATATTACTTAGTATGAGTATAAGTACAATCAAACAATCATTCAGAAAATAATTTACATAATCGAGCAGTATAACAACATTCACGCAATAAAAATAAGGACTTTCCTAATCTAGTAATTGATAATTATTTAGCTTTTCAATTGAATAAAATCCTGCTTTGACTTGTCGTCCTCCAAAAAATCTTCCATTCAAATCTACAACTGCTTTGATAGCACTTTCGATTCTTTTGAATTCTACAAATATGCGTACTGCTTCTTCTGCTGGAGCTTCTGGTACTTCATATATTACTACCCGAGTCACGTCGCCATACTTAGTATTGCATTCATCCTTGACTTCTGGTTCCAAATCATCATCAACTTCACCAGGACCAACCATATTTCTAAGTAAAACTACTTTACTGGGACTTTTCATGATCTCTGTAATACTTGGTTCGTCTGGTGAATTTTGAGCTTGAGACATAGATGGTGGAGATGGCATTGGAGCCATTGTTGGAGCCATAAGTTGCTCTTTGTCACTGATAATCCTGCCACCTCTTTTACTGGTCTTTTCAACTTGCAAGGCTAAAGATATACCTTGTTCTTTTTTACCTAAACCTTGACCTTCCTTAAAACCATATTTGGCCATAATTTTAGCAGCTACGGATGATGTGGTATATCCTTGATTTAATGTATTTCTACCAGATGAAGATGGTGGAGGAGGTGGAGGAAGTACCGGTTCAGCTGTTTCTTGTAGCGAAGCTGGTGGAGCTATAGCTGCACCTGCACTCTGTCCAGACCTACGTTCAGGCCTCTCTGGCCTTTCTTCTTCATTTGCACTCATAGCTATACTAGCTAATTGATTATTTTCTGGCTGCTCAAATCTGCTCTCTCTTCTGCGTTTACTTCTTACTTCAGTCTCATGCTGTTCTTGCTCTCGCTCTTTGATTTCCCTCAACTCTTTGACGACTTTCTCGTAATCATTTGGCCAGGATGGATCATACTCGTTCACAACATTCCAATCATATTCACCGATGAGACTTGCACCAGTAATGCCAGGAAACGTAAACTTACTGTCTTCATCTTTGTCGTGTTCTCGACTTTGATTTTTCGATTTCAAATCGATCACTGGTGCCAAAACCACTGAAGTTTTTTTAATTTGTTCACGTCTTGCGTGTGGTGTTGCAGCTTTTTTTAATTGGAGTTGAGACTGAAGAAGCTTTATTCCTGATGACCAACCGGCTACTTTATCTGTTGTACGAGCAGGTTTATCAAAATCGTCGTACAACGACATTTCGAATGTTGTTTATCTCTTTTTTACACAACTTTAATATTTTTTATTATGTTAGATTAGAAAATAACCAACAAACTAGGTTGCACTGACAGGAATTCGAAAACAAGTTTATGTTTAGATTAAAGACGGTAGGTTATGTTTACGATTGCAGCAGGCAGAGCTGACTGCTGAAAGCACGCTGTACTCGGCTCTGCATTCTGCAATTACAGGTTTCTACTTACAAAGCACACATGAACTGACAGCACGTAACAACGATGGAAAATGTAGGCAGCGCTTCTGAAAGAATAATTGTAGCGTCTACCAAATAGCGGCGTGCCATCGCCCAAGCCTTGAACGCTTACTTTAACTTAATTCTTGAATGAAATACTCACTTTAATAGATTTTCAATTTCAATTAAAACTCATTTTATTACAATAAATTTTTTTTACAATTTATAATTTTGATACTACACATTATGGGAACCTTTTCGACATCAAGCTTGCCATATGTATTGGTACCATCCATTCACTTTTCAATACGATCAACATTTTGTATTTTGAAAAAATATAAATATGTGTTTTTATATGCAAAATAAATGTTCATTTTTTACAAGTTGCATTATTTTAACAATGTGTACATCTAAAAATGTTGTATTCACAGTATAGATACAATGATTACTTTTTCATTCAAGCAATCAAATTACAAATCTACATCTCATTTATTCACTTACACACACATATAGTATTCTCAGGCAAATCAACTGTTTATTGCTTTATTTTAATATAAATATTACTTTTTGTACATGTTTAAAATATACATTGCAACATGAAAGTATTTTTATTTAAGTAAAAAAAGCAACATGCAAAGATAATTTTATCTCAACATTCATTTTGATACAAGCTTTGAAATTTTAATAAATTTAAGGCAGGATCATTAGGTTTTTGGAATTTGTGCTTAGGTACATACTTCATTCAATTACCATTCATCAAATCATGTAGTCTTATCATGATTGTGTACTTTTTCTTGTACTTCACAGAAATAGTTCAATCAAGTTATATTGTCTATCTATAAAAGTAACTCTTGTCTATACTTTAAATGACATATCGAAACAAGTAATGAGTTCTTCATACACAATCCATTATTATTGAACTTAACACTCTGTTGCTGTAAAATGTTCAAGTTTCAATAATTTAAACAAATCGGAAATGGATTGAAAGTTATCTTTTGCATTTTTCTTCGTTCTGGTATTCTTCATAAAAAATATTGGTTTTGTAGCATTTCTATATCCTACTTCGACCATATTCCATATTAAACTTACAACTTTTAAAGTTGTAAAAAATAATTTGCTTCTCTATTAACATTAGAACAGTGTGTATCTGCTTGGACGGGGTGATTACAATAATTTTGTCATTTTCAAGGCATACAATTTTTCATGTACTTTTTAGGGACACCTGACTATTGAATTCTAAAAAATTTATTTGCTTTCAAAAATATCTCATCACAGCTTATTCCTTGTCAGAGACCTTATGCTACGCTGAACCAAGAAGTTCTCTGGAAGTCAAAATCATTAATGTTTTTAGATGATTTTCAAAGGATTATTAAATTTCATATTAGATGATTTAAACTTACGTGGATAATTCTCTACCAAGTAACCCCGTTCCAACCAATCCTGTACGAGAACGACTCCTATTCAATTGTGCTCTTCTTTCAGCTGTGAACAAATGAATGAAATATTAGTCAATATCATTTTGTAAAATTTGCATATGTAAGGCCTGTCATATAAAAATGATATGTAATTGTTAAAATTGATGTCCATGCAAGTACGAATTCAACTTAAGTTGAGTTTCACCATTTTGTCGAGCTCATTAATTATGTGCCAAAGTCAGTGTTGAAGTACAAATTGTTATACACATTTCTTGTAAGTTCTTTCAAAAAGTTTTTTGAATCCTTGTATCAGTCTCAAAGAGAGAATGGGGTAAAAATCCCACCGGTGAACCGCGATGAGCAGAATTGAGGAGAGCATAATTTTAATTTTCCTTCCAACATTGACTTGAGCATCTTCTTAAATACTAATGTAAACAAACGAGCATACACGAACAATTAGTTCTACAGAAAACTATATAATGTGTATTAGCAGGATTCAATTCACCTGCCTACCATGTAAAATCGATTCAAATTTCACAGTAAAGTAAATCGTGACTTCACTATATATAATAATATTATATTAGTAGCTTATAATTAGATAAAAAAAAATAAAAATAATGATTATTAACATTTCTTAACATCGCATTTAATACCGTGTAATAGAAAATATTATTACAAATGCAAACTATGTTATTAGATTGATTATAAAAATAAATATAAAAAATTTGCTTTGAATATACATAAGAAGAGAAAACAAAAAGAAGGCACACTTTGCATAGGAAAATACAGAGTCGAGAAGATAACTTTTAAAATATACAATTAACACTTGCGCTTATCATTAACAGTAAACTTGTCGCATTTTTTACCATTCCGCCAAATTTTCCAAGGTCTTTTTTGTAATTCAGATTGTGGCGAATCGGCAGCAATGGTAACTGTTTCTATTAATTCATTGTTTGGTAACGGTACTTTCTTACGTCTATAGCTCAAGAGTCTTTTGAAAGTGTTTTTGTGACTTCCTAAAGCAATTAGTTTCCCAAGTTTCAACGATGAATTGAGAATACTAGAATTATTATTACAACTGTTATCAAAAACATCGTCACAGTAAAGTTCGGAAGATTTAATAGAAATATTTGAGGCGACGTTTGAGCGATTATTAACCGAAATATCTTTGTCACTAAAATTAGTATCATTTGTGGGAATGCCCTCCGATTCAGTAGGTGCATTAACAAATGGCGTATCATTTTGATTTTTCGTTAATTTTCGCGAAGCGTCATCTGTCAAATTTGGCAATGATGAAGTTAAATTCAACACACTAGTAGCTGTTAAAGAGTCTCTGCGTCTCTGCATTCTAAATGTCCGTCGTCTTTTAATTACAGTTGGTTTAACAATAAAACTTTTGTCTCCGTTTTTGCTGAGAACCTGTTCTCTCATGCTTTTTTTTCGATCAACAGCACTATTTTTATGGAAATATGTCCGAATTCCTCTGATAGCATCAAATTCGCCGTTTAAATCCTTTCTGTACCGATTCAATCGCCGTGCGCTCGAATGTTTGCGTCTCAATAGCGTCCTAAACTTACCACCGGCGGCGCGTATTTGACGCTTTCGACGCTGATCGGGTCTGCTGAATGCCGAACCAGTTTGCAGAGCTTCCATGAGGCTGTCCATCACTCCTTCTTGAGTCTCGTGAGCGTTCATGTCAACCAGAGCACGTTTGCGTTCGGCTCTCGCTGCTCTTTCCGCTTCCGCCTTTTCTCGCGCTTCTCGTGCACGGCGTTGCTTCTCTTCTGTTTCGCGAAGTTTAATAATTTCTTTTTGTGCTTGCTACAAGTAGAAAAAGTTATGTAAATATTTTAAAAAATAACGTTTTCCTTGTTGATAATAAAAGAAAATGGAGCTTACTAAAAAGTCATCTTTGAACTTTTTGATATCGCCAAAAAATTCTTCAATCGTGTATTTTGCCTTATCGAATACGAAAAATTCTGATATTTCTGTGTATAAACTATCCATATGCTTGAACATACTTTGCATAGTTTCATACGATTCTCGAGCTTTTTTACCGAACGGCTGTAAAAACATACCAATTAGTTTCCATGCAAAGACGGCTTGAAAAATTTAATAATTTCAACTTTAAGTGAAAAATATGAGTTACCGTCATGACTTTTGCAAAGTGATCTTGATCACTTTGAGGTATTTTTGCGTTATTGAGATCCTGCTCTAGATTACGAATGTTAGAGTCCATTTGTCGCAGAGTTCGTTGAATATTTTCTAGCGACACTCTACTTGCTCTATCTATGTGTGTTAATTCTTCAGAAAAGCTCAAGCAATCCGGGAACTTCCTTTCAATTGTGTCAACTAGATAGTGTAACAACGTCTGCTTGTTTTCTATGTCTTTTGTACTCGTCAACTACAATAATTTAAGTTTTATGATTAACATCATTGTTTAATCGTTAGTGTGAATGATAAAAAAGGTTAATAGAACTTACTTTTGTAAGGAAACTAATTTCAAATCCGAAAGCTTGTCCATTTTTCGATCCTGAATTCATGTAATTACCGCACAATAAAATAAGTTCAAGAATCTTGGCAAACTTTTTACTACTTTTGACTTCTTCGCAGGCAGCTGTACCGGCAACGATATCAGGTTTGATATCCGCAACAAGCTCATCGTATTTTAACATAAAACTCAGCGACCTTAGCCTCGGTAATAGTCGTTTTATTTGCGAAACTGTGACACAGAACTGCTCGGCTTCCGTCAGATCGTCGTACTGATCTTTGTAATTTTGTAATTTAGTTAATTGATCTGGTGGTGGTAAATACTGAATAAGTCCTTGGAGAATGTTGTCGTTGATAACTGGACCCTCGCATCGTAACAAACATGATTTGACCTCTTGGTAAGATACATGTTTGAGCGTACCGTTGAGCAGAATCAAGATATTTTGCGCCGATTTACCATCGAGTACTTTCAAATCCTTGACCTTTTTCGCGGTATTTGACCTGCTATTCAATTATTAAAATTAGATTTAAGATGCAAATAAAAAATTCGATGTAGATACTAGTCCACTCATACCTATCAACTACATCGTCTATTTTTCTCGTTGGTGGTTTCGATGAGAACTTCTGCGCTAACCCATTTAATAAATCTGGACTGGCCAATTTATCTTCTTGTACCTTGACCCAAAATGACTTCTCAGACATCTTGTGAGGTAAAATCTAAGGTGAAGTAAAAATGGACGAGATGAGATCAAAGTCACTGAATTAATTTTTTCAATGTTTTTATAAATTCAACTTACTGCTTTCCAATTGGCTCTTTTAAGAGGTTTGTCGACGTCCCATTTTTTCTTCGGTTTCATACCGTGTGGTAGTACTTGGACAGCATTTGGCATGGGCATCCTAGGCATACCCGGAGGTGGTGGTGGTCCCATGCCTGGCATCGGAGGCGGTGGAGGGCCCATACCCGGCATCATAGGTGGTGGTGGTGGCCTTGGAGGACCACCCATGCCGGGCATTGGAGGTGGCGGTGGTGGTCCCATGCCAGGCATCATCGGTGGTGGCGGTGGAGGAGGTGGACCGCCACCGCCTGGTCCAGGCATTGGTGGTGGAGGTGGAGGTGGACCACCAGAACTATTTACAAGTTTCTGTAAAAATCAATTTGAATAAAGTTTAAAATTTGAAATTTATACTGTACATTTTTGACAAAACTAATCCCATGAAAAAATTAGAAACAGCTGTGTTGACGACCATTTGAAAACTAAAAAAAGTTTTTATTTTTTTAGGCGATTGAAGCAACGATAAAAGTGACAAGTAATAATAAAAAATCTTGTCATCAATAGGTTTTAGAGAAATTTTTAAAATGGATCAGGTCGTTAAAAAGAAATTAAAATTTCGAACAATCAAAATTGAGTTAAGATTCGATCATCAGAATTAAAAAAAATCAGTGAAACCACCTTGAATTTTGCTCACTTCAGCCACCTCTAACTAATTTTTTTACTCTTGTTAACGAATAAGAAATGAACGTCAATAAAAGAGTACCGATAAGCAATTTGTGCCAACAATCAAATAGCGACACAAGCACTAGTACAACACCAATTATAAACGACTTTCGATCGCATAATCGTTCGAACGCGCAATAAAGTCAAAGAAAATTACCAATCCAATGCCACCGGTAGTGCGACCGGTGCCTTGCTCGAGCTCGCGAATGATGTTTTCTGCGTGCTGCAATTTTGCCTCGGCCTCCTGCTTGCGGGCTATGGCGTCCTCGAGCTTCTGCGTCATCTCGATGAGCCGCTGCTCCTCGTCGGCGCGCGACTTCTCCACCAGAGTCTCGATCAGCGGCTGCACGTCGATCTTGAATCGCTTGGTGGCTCGAAAGTCCGGATCACAGCCCGAACGGTGCAGAACAATTTGCGACACGCACTCCTCGATGAGCTTGTAGTAAGCCGGCCTTATCTGAGCGTCGTCTCGGATGAACAGCAGATGCTGCAGTATCGAGAGAAAATACGGCTCGGCCACGGTGTCCATGACCATGTTCTTGACGACCTCGAAGCAATCGTTGACATCGTCCAGCTCGAGCCTGACGTGATCGAACCGTTGCACGAACTCCTCGTAATCCTCGTCCTTGATGTCGTTGAAAATTTTCAAATGCCTCGTTAGATCTTCCGACTCGTCTTCGTTCTCCAACGTTTCGAGTATATCTGCCAAGCCGACGCGCATCAATTCGTTTCGTAAATGCAATCGAAAGTCGAGCTCCTCTGCCGACGATATGATGGAATTTATCAGTTGCAGACACACAACCTGAAAAGACACACATGCACGTAAACACATTGAGTTCGGTGAAAAATCCCAGCGAGCGATTAATCGTCCGTCAAACTTACTCGTAAATTTTCGTTCTGTTTGTTCATGAGACCCTGAACGATAGGTAGGAAGCGGTCCTTGCCGTTGAACTCGCCGTTCATCGTTATGGCGTCGAGGACTTTTTTGTGACTCTCGCCGGATATGAGGCAGACGGCACCGAGGAGCTTGACAGCTTCGCACATGACCGACGGCTTCGACGGCTCCAGGGAACGGGCGACGATCGTCAACGCCTCGTGGTGCGCCAGCATCTCCTTGATGCCGACGGTGTTGTTCATGATCGCTTTGAGGCATCGTATGCACTCGTATTGAATTCGCTCGTATCGGCTGTCGCTGTTGGATCGAAATGACAAAATTAGTTCGTGGTTTTTTATTTTGGGACATTTCATCGATGAAAAATCGGCTAGATTCTACTACAAAATTAGTAAAACGCTACTTGTTGCGTACGTGGGTGCGATTGAAATTAAAAAATGTATCTAATGCACTCAACGAGGATGGAAATGATTGTGTGTAGTAATCAGAAATGTCGGTGGACTGTTCAAAACTGTATCTGGATACTGATAAAAAAAAATGTACAAAAAGTCTAACGTTTCGAACAAAAACTAAAAATAATTCAACAACGCTAAAAAAACAAAAATTAACAGCATGACAAAATAAAGGAAAAAATCAAGTACTAATGTATAAAAACACAGTAACAACGTTGGTATTTTAAAATTACCTAAGTTTATTTACTTGCACGATAACACTGTAATAAAAGAGAAACTTGAATGTATAATTTTTCATTATGTTAACTGTCGCACATTGTGAACTCGTAAAGCCTGAATAAAAGTAAATATTTTTAAACGTGTTTACTCGAATCTCTATACTTTTCGAACAAATAAATTCGGTATAGAAATGACAGAAAACGTGTTTTTAAATTTTCAATTTTTTCCGCAGGCTTCGATATCACTTTTTAACGAAGAGAGAAAGAGAGAATACGACCGACGTATTCATAATTGTACATTCTGGAACGCGATTAGTATGGCTTTTAAAAAAATTTGCGCCGCTACTCACTTGCGATAACACTCGTTGAGCGTGACGAGAACTTGTTTGAGGCCTTTGGTGCCGAATTCCTGGACCCAACTCAGAGGATTGTTGGTCAACGCGATCCTGAGAGACTCGACGCACGCGTGGATCTTGTTGACGCTTATGTCCGGCTGCGACAGGTACTGTATGTAATCGGCCGGTTTGTCAAATTTGTTTCTACTCTCTTGTATGCTGCCTTTGTAGTGCAGTATCAGCATCTCTTTCTTCTTTTGCGCCGACTGCTGTCGTAGCGGCTCCTTTTTCGCGTCCGACAGATTCATGTTTGCCTGGATTTCGAGTGAAAAAATGACAATTGCAGTAGTGATACTTTGATAAAAAAAAAAAAAAAAAACGAAACCATCACTCACCAATAGTTCTTCGAACTTATCATTGGTAGTCTCGTCGTCCATGCGTTCGATCATGCAGCGCTGCTGCTCGATCTCGTTAAAATCGTCGGAATTGGGCCGAGGCATCGTGTTGGGCCCTGTACTACCTCCTCGGCCGGATTTTTTTGGCCTTCCGAACCATGTGTCCAGCTGAAAAATAAACCAACGTAAGCGTCTTTGGCAGAACATCGGATGCGAGTAATTTTGTATATTTGTTCACAAGCACAGCGTCGCTATAGTTCTGTTCGCATCACTTTACTGAATATAGTCGTGTACCTCGGTGACAATTTTTAAATCACGATTTGAGAGTAAAAAATTGTCGACGAGCAAAAATAAAAAGAAAACACGCCAATGCCAAAATCAAATACATCAAAGATGAATCGAAGTTACGCGACGAATATAGTCAGGTGAATTTGTTATTCAAATTTTTTTTATGCCAAGAGATCAATAAAAACGATCTGATTCATTGTCGAGCGCGCTGATTTTCCTGTCTTCAACGCGAACAAATATAGCTTCTCACGCAAGAGAGCGTAAAAATAAAAATTACACTCGAAGCGCACAGTGCTGCGCACATTTTGCGAAAAACCTTGTGCTGCAACACAGCAGCACTGCGCCAAAAAAACAGAAGGAAAAGAAAAGCGCAACGATCACCTTTAAAAAATCCATCGACATCGTGCAGAACAGCCAATGCATCGTGCCGACTCACACGGGGGTCTCACTATTATTAAAATTCAGCCGGCGCGCGCGCGTATGGATATATATTATGGTAATTCGCGCAACAAAGTTCAGTCGCGCTTACGTACGCGGAACGTTACACCGCAGCCAGCCGCGAGCTCGTTGTTTTCGGCTAAAATTCGCGCAACGTACTGACTGACATGCGACGGCTATTCAACTGTCATCGCACGAGGATGATACGGCGGTGCTCGCTCAGAACTTCGTATGTGTATGTACTGCAACAGACACACAGACACATAAGTACATGTATAATCGCGAGCACGGAAGTGCACATACGAGGCGACGACAACGGCCCACTCCGCGAGGCGCACACATACATAATAATAAATATTAGATAAGAAGCGTGCGGCCGATCGTGTGTGCGAGCGATACGTGTCGGGCTATAATGTTTACAACCCGCAAAAAGCCCATTGTTATATTTCGGTTCGCGCGAGCATTTCGTATATATACCGCGTGCACTCACACACGAGAGAGCTACAGAGAGAGAGAGAGATATGATCGTTGCATCGCGTTACCCACACGTGTATGTGTGTGCAAAAGAGTGAAAACAAATACGCCGTGTCGCACGTTCGTTGGCGCGATAATACAACAATCGATGTTGCATATGATACGTAGACGTTGAAAAATCGATTACACGCGTGTCGCGCTCGCGACGAAACAGAGAGAGAGAGAGAAAGAAAGAGATCGGTAGCAATTGCAGTTGCAGCTATTATATAGTAGCCATGCGTGCTGTAATACGTTATATACGCGCGGCTTCAAATTGGTGCGTCGGCAATAATTACGTTTAATGGGCACGAATGACGCGATCAGAACGTGTGTGTAGCGCAGTCGCTGCTCCTATTGCGCGATAATACATTTCGAAGGTCTATGTTTCAAAGATACAACACGAGCGGCTCGTGCCATACAGTGGCTCAACATATAATATAATATTCATGCTTTCCGTTGAATCACGAGAGCAAAAAAAAAACGAAAGCGCACGGCTCTCTAGATATGTCATAGAGCGGCACGGCTCTTTAAAAAATCGATATAGGCGCGCAAAAGCTCCCTGTGATGTAAGCGCACGCGTGCACGCAAAAATCCGCTACCTATATATACGTATAATATGCCGCCGCGGAATATTTTTGTATTTAAGCGCGAGCACCTGCATTACATGTAGCCACGCGCGGCGGTGAATGGCGTTAATTAAAACTTTGCATACAATGAGTTATATGCGTTCGCAAACGGCGGCGGCAGCAGCATCGGATCGTCACGCGTACAATGGCATACTGCAGCGGGGATTATTATATATATGCGTGTGCGAGTGCGTTGCGACACGTTGTGTGTACGCGGCGCAGATTATTAGAACGAGAGCGGTTTTCTCTCTCGAGAGAGAGGGAGAAATGAAAAAAAATATGCCGAGAATTCATTTCTTTGAGAACGAGAGAGCTGTTGATAAATGCACGTTGGAAAAACTAGCACGAGTCAAAGAAAAAGCTCTAAACTCTTTTTCATTATTTGACTCTCGGAGGAACTGTGGGACAACTTTTTATCGGATTCTGCTCGCTCAATATGACAAAGCCAAGAATAAGAAAAAAGGCGCGTGACAAAATTAAACGATCGTTTTGAATATTGCACGCACGCGTTTTGTCAACGAGTCGCTCGCACTCAGCGCTAAACTTTCGTATATGCGAACAAAACACGACAGGATCGCGATAATAAACTCTTCGCTACCGGTGTCTCTTCTATTGTTCTTCGCCACCTCGTACATGTGTTAACGCGTACCTATATAATAATGTTTGTTGCGCAAAAAGCGTATACGACATTATGCTTAATGATAAATGATCGTCTCTGAAAATTCCTACACGGTCAAACTCACTTTTTTATTTTGATGATATTGCACAATATACGGCTGCTATTCAGGTTAAAGTCTCTCACGGATTTTTACGCCCACGCGTCGACGAAAAGCTACGCATCGTAAAGAAACCTCTCGAGCGGCGAACGTTTAAATTTATAATAAATATAATACACACTCGAAGCGCCCAGAGCACAATGGAAGTAATCCAAGTCCTTATGAATTCGATTCAATTGTTGAAAAAGTGTTCGAAATCGCGCGTCGTATGAGCTAAGATGTGTCGCAAGACCGTCGTCCTAACGTCCTACGTACATACTGCCGCATGCCGCGCTTGGCTCGTTCTGGACGTCAGCTGGGCGTGTGGCTTAATCCGTGTGCTGCGTCGCAACGTGCCACCCTCTTAGCGGCCGGGAAGGCTGCTTAGATCGATAATGACAAAGCTCGAGACGCGCGCGATGCCTAAGGTCACCTGTCGGATCGACGTCACAAAAATGCGATTTTTTCCCTCTCTCTTGTTACATATCATATTTTGAGCAACGAGCGAGATGATTGATAGAATATCTCTCTTTTGAATTTTACATTTTACAGCAATAAATCTTGCGTTATTGTATGTTTATATTCGAGATCAGTGATTTATAACTTTGTCATTTACGAACGAAACATAAATGAGACTTTGTTTCTCAACTCCATCAATGTGTACTTAAATAACTTCTTCAAACATTTATCGTGCTCGCGTTTATTTTCAATTTTATGCCGAAATCAAAATCAACATTTCTTTTTTTTTTTTTTTTGAGAGTGAACAAAAGACTAAAAGGTCGATTCGATTATATTACTTGGCATTGCGCTTATAATTGGATGGTATTTAATCCAATCGAGTCGATTTTAATCTGATGAAAAATACGCCAGATAAGCCCGCGACGCCGACAATAACCTTTTTGCATCGCGGCTCAATACATAATATCGTGCTTGAATTCCATCAGGCTAAGCTCATGGCTCATTTCGATTCGAGTACGCGATTGTCCCCGATATTTTGTTTTTCTCTCTCTCTCTCGCTCTCGATAATTGCAAATTCGATTTCCAGGACGCGCCTGAATAACTTGGAAAAAAATGCATCTATTCGATGAGCGCGTGTGCACGAGCTGCATAAGGGAGGGAAGAATGCGTTGGACGACGCACACACACGCGCATGTGTGTGCACAATTAAAAACTAATTTGCGAGTAACAGGCAACTGTTAAAGTGAGTCACGAGCTTTCGTTGCGTCACATCCATCGTACATATATGTATATGCTTGCGCGCGTGCCTTCATTGTTGTTAATAATTAAAAAATTTCAAATAATTGGCACCATGATATACGTTCGATGTAAAGAGCTCTTACCCATTCGGTAATCATATTGCAATCGAGATTAGGACACACAGAGATGTATGTATTGTACACGCACACACACACACTTGGATCACAAGCGAGGACACAGCTTTAAAAGTATTCACATTCCAGCACAGGTTTTGCCTTCTCTGCTGCCGGTCAATTCTTCCTTCGAGCGCATTGCGGCATTTTTATTCATTTATGTTTTTTTCTTCGTTGGAGAGTCCCTCTTTCGACACGGCACCGAGGGAATAAAATTATCACTGTTTTCGGCCACGTTGTGTATTACGCGCACTCGAACACACTGGAATATTAATATTAAAATAAAAAAAAACACTCGATGTTTTGATTCTGATACGTGCTCTGTATTATACACGCGAGATAATACAGAGTGCCCGCGTGAATTTTGAGATTTCGTGCTACGAATTAAAGTTAATAACCGTCTATGGGCGTGTGGATCGGTGTCTGGTTTGAGTGGATTATAATTTGCTAATTAATTCCAGAATCATCGCGATGATAAACAAAGCCGAGGCCTACATATAGCGGCGCTGTTTAATCAGATGTTGTATTTGAAATAGAAGAAACGAAGGTTCTGAGTTTATAGCGAGTGATAGACGACGACGACGACGTAGTCGTGTAAATGGAAACTCGTGTTACACGAGCGCTCGCGTGATGACCTCCTTGCGGTCAGCTGATCCTGGCGTCGCGAGATCTGCATATATCGAGGAAAAATTATACACGTCGTTAAAAGTACCACCCGTACAACGACGACGACGCGAAATCGATCGAATGGGTAAAATGCGTGACGAACTTGATTCTGATACTTTTTCTGCTTCTTCTTTTTTTTTTGTACGCTTTCGCGATAACGTCGACGCCTGTTGTGTGTATGTAAGTTTGTGTGCGTGTGTGATACTCGGCGAGCTTCGACACTGACGCACGTGAGAGCAATATATTTATAGGTATGATGATGATAGTCGTCAAAACAGTCGAGAGCGCCTCGAACTCGAGCTCTGAATAATTTTTTTTCTCTCTCACTTTTTTTTACCTCTCGTGCGTCCAAGGACGAGTGTGACTTATACATACAAACACGAGGAGCAGCTACGTACATACGCGTTTGCATCAATTTTCTCGAGCTCGAAAAAAAGAAACGAGCGAGGCGTTTATTCGACGAATTATCGCATCGTTATTTCGAGACGTATACGCGCGTGTCCTCGAGTTGC